ATATTTCTACAATAAACTGAATTTTTACACTAAGCCAATAAAGATGATTAAAAAACACACACACCCTCATATCAGTTTAAAGTCTGGTTTTGCTACCAAGTTAGTTATGAAAAACCTTTTGGTTTTAAGAGCTTTGTGGGTTTCAAGATAATGGAAAGGAATTGTGGACCAGTTTACCTAATTACAGTTCCTGAAGCTGAATCTTTTTGGTCTTGGTGTCATACTCCTCTCCGCCTCTTGGACTCCAAATCACAGTGCCTGCCACAGAGTAGGTGTCCAATTGATATCTGTGTATTGGATAACTAATCCTCTGAGCTTCAGCACTGGATCTCTGGAGCAATAGATGGAAATAGGCATAGGTCATAGGGTCTAGCCCCAAAAGAGCACTTGACACTCTGAATTTGATTTCTAAAGATTTATCTTTTTTCTTCTACAAGTAGAGGGTAGCCAAAATAAAGCAAACTGGTTATTTGTTCATGTAACAGGGAATCAAGCTGGAGGTTCAAAGGTCTGAATGTTCCATGAATCCATGTAGTTCTCAGGGGGTGACTACAAAGATTACTTTTCTTTTAAAAAATAGTTAATTTTTATTGAATTTATTGGGGTTACAATGGTTAATAATATTATATAGGTTTCAAGGGCACAGTTCTATAATATATCATTTGTATATTGTATTGTGTTCACCACCCAAAGTCAAGTCTCCTTCCATCACCATTTATCCCCCTTTACCTTACCCTCTTCTACTACCCCTACTGTCCTTTCCCTCTGGTAATCACCATACTATTGTCTGACTCTGAGGTATTTGTTTTTTTGTTTTTGCTTAATCCCTTCACCTTTTTCACCCAGCCCTCCACTCATCCTCCCCTCTGACAGCTGTCAGTCTGTTCTCTGTATCTGTGAGTCTGTTTCTATTTTGTCTTAGTTTATTTTATTCTTTAGATTCCACATATAAATGAAATCATGTAGTATTTGTCTTTCTCGTACTGGCTTATTTCCCTCCTCCTCTTCCTCCTCCTCCTCCTCCTCTTTTTTTTTTTTTTTTTTTTTTACAGCTGAGTAGCATTCCATTGTGTAAATATACCACAGTTTTTTTTATCTACTCATTTACCGATGGGTGTTTGGCCTACTTCCAAATCTTGGCTATTGTAAATAATACTGCAATAAACATAGGAGTGCATAGGTTCTTTCAAGTTAGTGTTTTGGGTTTGTTTCTTCAGATATATTCACAGAAGTGGAATCACTGGGTCATAAGGCAGTTTCATTTTTAATTTTTTGAGGCCCCTCCAAATGTTTTCCACAGTGGCTGCACCAACCTGCATTCCCACCAACAATGCATGAGGGTTCTCTTTAGAGATTTTTTTCTGAGGCTCCAGGAGAGCAAACAGTTGATTTAGAAGCAGCTGCCCATTTTCAGGAAATTCTTTTGATTTTTTTCCCTTCTTTACTTTCAACCCCTCAGCTCTTCCTCAAATAGGACTTCTCACTCCATCCTTAGAGAGAATTTCTTCCCAGGGTGGGGTAGGGGGCAGCTATAAAGGTCACTATACTTACAAACACTGGACACAAATGCAGCAAAGCATGGTTGAAAGTACCCCAACTCTCATGGGACCTGTGGGCTAGTCTTGGCCCTTCTAATAACTTGCTACAAGAGGGAACGTGTCCATACAATGCTCTAGACCTCTATTTTCCTTTCTGTCAAATGGGAATGATATGAGCACTACCAAACTCCATAACATTACTCTGACCAAAATGGAGGGCAAGTGCTCATCAAAATTAAAATACTTTTCAAAGGTATGGTAGTTTAGCGACACTGCTGAGTTCATCAACCTGTCATCCAGGTGAGTGAATTCTTCCAGCCAGAACTCAAAGGATATTATTTTCCTGCCTAGTGAATCTACCTATCCTTTGAGCTCATGTTAAAATGCCGCCTCCTCTGTGAAATCTTAGATCTACCATGTATTTAGCAGACTCCTTTATGCAAGTCACACTACACACAGGCATATCTCATTTTATGGCACTTTGCTTTATTATGCTTCACAGATGTTGCGTGTTTTACAAATTGAAGGCAAGAACCTCCACCAACAAATATATTACAACTCACTTTATTGCAATATCAGCTTTATTGTAGTTGTTATCTCCAAAGTATACCTGTACCTTATACATTTAATCCTCATAGTGGCCATGCATTATAGATAACATTGTGAGTCCCATTTTTAAAATTTAAATATATTTTTATGATTTCAGAGAATAAGGGAGTGGGAAAGACAGAAACATCAATTATGAGATAGAATCATTGATCGGCATGCCCCACACTGGGGATTGAGCACGAAATCTGGGCATGTGTCTTGACAGGGAATAGAACCGTGACCTTTTGGTTCATAGGTCGATGCTCAACCACTGAGCCACGCTGGCTAGGCATGAGTCCCATTTTTAATTTATTTTTTATTTTATTTTATTAAAAAAATATATTTTATTGATTTTTTACAGAGAGGAAGGGAGAGGGATAGAGAGTTCGAAACATCAACGAGAGAGAAACATCGATGAGCTGCCTCTTGTACCGCCTTCCTCCCCTCCCCCAGCCCACTGGGGATGTGCCCGCAACCATGGTACATGCCCTTGACCAGAATCGAACCTGGAACCCTTCAGTCTGCAGGCCAACACTACCCACTGAGCAAAACTGGCCAAGTCATGAGTCCCATTTTTTAGATGAGGAAAATGAAGAGACTAGCCCAAGGTCACACAATTTATAAGTAACCGAGCCAGGGATATAATAAAAAATGAATTATTCTCTGCTCCTATCACAGTATGTTTATACTTGTAGTCCTTAAACCAAAGTCTGTATCTCCTTCACTAGATTATGAGATCCTGGATGTCAGGGCCATAACTTATTTTATCTGACAAAATACTCAGTGAATGTTAGAAAATTGGATGAGTTGGAGTAGAACAGAATGGAATGGAAGGATACATAAGGGAACTGAATGAAGTAAGTGGCTTGCCTGGGATTTCCAGTCCCAGAGTGCCTTGTCTTGCCAGTCAATTCCCTGACACTTGAGCCCACTCTGGTCACTGCCATTAGAGAGCCATATGAGAGTGCAGAAATAGCTAGTGTCTTTGCTTCCCATCTTAAAGCAGACTGCTGTTGGCGTTCAGGAGACATTCAGTGAATATCTGAGGAAACAGAATTACTCAGGAAAGGCATTAATTTTCCATGTAAGAAGATGCCTCCAACTTTCTCTCAATGTCCACAAGTCGCCCATAGTTCAATAAGCACATACTATTCATGGAGTTCTTCCTAAAAAATGAAAGCTGTGAAGCATATTGGAAGGGCGAATGAGATAGAACACAAGTCTACTATGGAACACAGCAAATAATGGTAGAATTTTCTAGCTCAGATCAGGCTAGAACTGTTCAAAAGTTAATTTTTTGAAAACAGTAATAATAATTACTAGAAGAGTAATGTTTACTGAGTACTTACTATGTACCAGGCACTGTGCAAAATTCTTTGACTGTATCATCCTGGTCAATCCTTAAGTCCTATAACAGGACCACTACTACCATAAAATCACTGTTTTCCAAATAAGGAAGCTGAGGTTTAGAGAGGTTATTCAGCTTGTTCAAGATTGCACAAATATAAATGGAACACAAGCTGGGGTTAGAAGCCAAGTTAGTCTGATAACCAGGTTTTTTATATTTTTTAAATAACCAGGTTTTAATCACTATATTTTAGGACAACTCTTTTTAATTACCTGTAAAATAAGACCAGGTGGGAGATAGGTATAGTTTAGCTGTTGAGTGAGGATGTTTTTAGTAGAGTCTTGGATGGCATGGGATCTGTACAACCTTATGACCTTCAGCTTCTATGTATTTCCCAAGAGGGTTTGCTGGCTGAAGCCCTGCAGAGTGTGTCTTTGTACATTTGTATTTATTCCTTTCTTTCACTCTTGGGTTTCTGAGACAACCACCTAGTACCCCTACACTCCCCCACCAAATTCCTGCCCAATCCATGCGTCCATTTGATTTCTAAGCCTAGATGTAAAGTTTAGGGCCTTGGACTGAAATAGATGCCCCTGTGAGTTAAGGAAAGGCTGCAGATGGAAACTCAGACCATTAGTGAGGCTAAAGAAATATGTAACTACATCGCTGAACTTGTGTTAAGGTTTATTGGTCCATTCTCACCACTTTTTACTCCTTTCATTTTCATCCCCATCAACAACTATCAGTTAGTGATCATTTTCAGCTGAGACTGGCAGATTCAGTCCACTAATGGCAGAGCTGAGACGAAGGTGGGATCTGCTACACCGAACCATCATCCTAGCCACTTAGATAGGGAAATTGTTTTTCAGGGTTTTATGCTGCCATTTCTGTACATCCTTTAATGAATCTTTCTGTCCGTAAATGAAGCAGAGATGGAAGGAGGGGTGAATAAGTGCTAACATAAATTGCAGTGGGTCAACCACAAATACAGGCTTCTAAAAAAAATTGTTCTTTTTTTTAAGTTTAGGTTAAGGTGCTTGCTATTTTCTAAAGTACTTCCTGGGTTTTATTACTGTGCCAGATGCATCAAAAATTGCTATTTCAAACCTTTACTTTGTAATTCATACATCAGATCAGAAGGTTGCTTTAAAAAGAAAAGGATAAAGATCAGAATATAATGAATGCTTTTCCCATAATATGTGTCTTACTGATTCACCAGTTATATGCTAGGTAATGGATATTGAAATTGAAATTAGCAGGCTCTGAAAAGCTATGGTTGACTTTTAGTTTTGGGGAGATATGTTTCATTTTAGGCGTGATTCCTATGTACAAGGAAAAATTGGCAACTGGTAGGAGAAATACTTTTATTGCACATACTTTTTTTTGTGTAAGTAATGACTGCATATGGTTTTAGCATCTATACCCCAGTCACTTTCCATTAACCTGAATCATATCCAGAAGCTGAATGATTGTGCGGTCAGGCTGACCATTTCCCCACATCCTATGTGTGCCTTGTTGTTTTACAGCTCGGCTTCGGATCATTCCTTGGAATCATTGGATCCAACCTCATTGAGAACAAACGGCAGATGGTAAGTGTTCAAGTTCTTCATTTGAAAGTAACACATTTCTTAAGATTGCCCAAATTGGGGAAAAAACAAAACAAAACAAAACAAAACAAACAAACAAAAAAAAACCTACTACTTTGCCTTTTCGCCTAAGCCTCCAGGGAACTTGTTTTTCAATGACCCCGTGGTTTGGACTTGTTCTCATCTTGTCTGATGCTCCCTCAGGGCCTAGCTAGTTTCCTCAAATCATAGGGATACAATATTTTGGACCTTGCCATTAGCTTTCCTCCTCACTCCCAGAGGACTTCCCCAGCCTATCCAGTCAGGCAACTATCCTTGCCTAAAATGCCTTTGCTTCTGTGATTTTTATTGCCACAGCCCTGGGTTATTGGACTGTCACATCTTTCTCTCTGATGTATAATCTTTTGAAGAAGTTTTTGTAGAGGGTTCCCACTTTTAGGAAGTTATAATCTAGGGTACTTTGATTAAGAGAACAAATATACTTGAAGCACATAAAAGACAAAATAAAATTATGGAGCCCTAAAGTATGCAGCTCCATTATCTGTAGTTCAAAACAAGTATGTTGTAAATTTGAAAGGGAGGATGAGCATATATAACAGGAGTTAAAATTTAAAAAGTTCTATGTCCTGATGGGGGCCCACAAGGACAAGCTGTTGTATTTTTCTGGTTCAGTCTGAGAAAGCTTCCTAGAGGGCAGGAGAAGAAGGAATAGACTGAATTGCAATCACATATTGTAGTTTTATGGGACTTGTAAATCAAGATGCCTGGTGAGTGGTCAGATGGTAGATTGATTAGCTCCCCCAGTATAAGTCTCTGTGCATCCTGACTTTGATAATGGGGTCTATTTAACAGCAAGTTTAATCAGATAATGTAATAGCTCTAGGGACAGAAAACTCTAACCATATCTCTTCCCCAGCAATATGGGGAATTGCCCTCTGGGGAGTTTCTAATAGTTCTTGTTTTCCATTTCATCTAGACTCCCCCCTCCCAGTTGTGTTTGCACTTTGGACCTAAATTATTCAAAATAATAGGGGAGTTTTAGTTGTAGAGTTGATATAGCATAGCTAATAATGCCAATTTCATGACATTGTTCATCCATTATTTACCAATTCTCCTTAGTGCTGTGAAGTGAGATTTATGGGGAGAGGTTTCTCAACAACTCGCAAAGGAGATAAGCATTTCCCCCTAGCCTGTTGAGGTGGGAGAAATTTAGGGTGGCCTTGGCTCTGATTCCTCCTCCTCCCTAGAGAGTTGTTTAATGCCATGCTATGTTCCCCTCCATCCCCCAAACACCTCAAGGAAGAAAACCGCTGAATCTATCTAGTTCTGAGGGTCAACAGGAGTAGATGGTGGACTCAGGCTGCACCTATCCATGCCCCTGGAAACACCTACTCCCTACCACCTTTGTAATGGAAGACAAATTATTAGGAATATTTCTGTTGTCTAACTAGGTCAGAGAATAGGGCAATCTAATTCAAGCAAACATTTTTCTTACTTAAAATTTTCGTATGCACCACAGGGAGGCTTCTGTGTCAGAGGCTTCAACCTTTGTAAAATGTCTTTGACATTTAAGTATTAAGTTGAATGTTCTTTTTATTCAATGATGCAAAAGACCATGTAGGGTTATGCAAGGCCTCAGAATCATCTCTGTATTCATCAGTGCCTATTATGAGGGGTTGGGAAGAACATTGGACTAAGAGTTGGTGGGCACCAGACTCTTGTGTGGACTAGATGGTGATCCTGGGCACACACACCACTTCCCCTCTTTGAGCCTCTAATTTCACAATAAATTAGAGAGTTGGACTACATGATGTCAAAGGCCCAACATCAATTTTTCTGAATCTGAGTCAAATTCTGCCATGGACAGCATGTTGGATACCAGCAAGCCTCTTCTTTGGTGCTCACAGAGTGAATTTCTTTATTTGCCCTGAAAATGTAAATGGTGCTTCATTGGCCCCTTCTCTGCCTTGCCCTGCCTCAGCTCCCACTAATCCTGCATGGCTGCAAAGAGCATCCTCATGGAGTGGCAAGCCAGAGTTCTGCTTTGTCTGGCAGTCTCTTGGGGATCATCTATTCTCCAGAATCAGCAAGAGTGGAAAACTAACGGACACTTTTGTTCTCTTCACAGTTGGTGGCTTCTATCGTCTTTATCAGCTTTGGTGTGATTGCAGCCTTCTGTTGTGCCATAGTCGATGGGGTCTTTGCTGCCAGACACATTGTGAGTAGTTTTAGCCCTGGTTTAAAGTAAGTGTGCTCTACAGCGAGGCTTCACTGAATCTGTACTGGATGTGTGTTGAGTGCCCTGAGGGGAACAGAAAGGAGAGAAGATAGGATCCCTGCATCAAAGAGCTGACAATCAAGATAAGGATACCCATGAATACACAGGCATCTAGAGAACTGAGTTTAGGCTGAGGATATACACTCTAAGTGCCAGAGTGGTTTATCTTGGACTTCAGAGGTCAGGGTAGTCTTCCCAGCGGTGTTGGGGCTGGAGTTAAGCCTTTGGCATGTGGGTGAGATTTGTAAAGGCAAAGACAGGGCAGTGGACTAGGGGAATGGCTTGGAACTAATGTTAGTAAAGACGAGGTAGGCAGAGAAGAGCAGGAAGCCCCATAACTTCCTGAGAGACTTGAAGTTTTCAATAGATGTCCTCTCTCTCCTTCAATAGCAACAAGAGAAGACCACTTTTTCTTGGATGCCTGAACTTTGCTGTCAACTGCAGCAGTTATTGGAGAGTAGAGATGTGATTAGGATCTAGGGAAAGTCCCGGAACTAGAAGCCTCAATTCAGAGCCCAGTGCTGGTGTTAAGATGCCAAATGATTCCTACTCTGGATAATCTGTGCCTTGAAAAAAAGCCATTTTACTCCTGAAACCCAAATCTGTGCTTATTCTCTGGGGAAGCCTAGGATTCAGAGTATTCCTATGGCATCATGAGCTAAAATGGCTTTCTCCATTTCCCTTTTTCAGCAATTTCTATTTCATACTATTCTAGACATCTGGCCTAGGGCCAACTTCTCCATTAGGCACAAGAGGTAGGCACAAGTGCCTATGATCCACACTATTTTCAGGGGCCCATAAAAATATTATTTATTTTCAAATCAGAAGAAAATGATGTACATTTAGGTCAAAAGAAAGTTTTCATATAATATGAATATACAGCAATTAAATAAGATATCATTAAAATAAATAAAATATAGTTTTCAATATTTTTTGAAGAAGGAAGGGGCCCACAAAGGCAAAAGTATCTAAGTCCCAGAGAAGTCATAGTGTAGTTCTGATCTGGCCCACAAACAAAAGTCAAGCCACAACAAATTACTGAGCCTTCACAACAAACTCAAATAGTCATTTGATTCCAACTGAACCAACATAAAAAATGAAAACATCTCATGACTTTTTTTGTTTGTTTTGTTTTTCTAAAACAATTGAATTGGAGTAAAATTGTTTTATTGGGATCTTCTATGGATCTATGATATTTAAAGTTCATTTCAGTCATGGGATAATAGTGCAGGTCATCCTGAGGGAGTGTCATGGGTATGGTTGGATATGGAAAATTATTATTTGAAACATTATTATTTCAATTTCAACTTGTTCTTGGGCCCTCCTCCTAGACATAACAGTTAATTTCTTCTTTGCCAAGATTAGAGGAATTTGTATGGTCAGTGCTTCCACCCAAGCAGTCTCTGAAATGGCATCTCTGGAAATAATTTCTGGAAAGGAGTAAAAGGAAAAGGTGGAAGAGAGAGGCCCTTTGCCCAGTTTTCTTTCAGGGCCAGGATATAAATGTAGGCACTTAGATCAGACCCATCCCTTCTGATTTGAGCTGAGAGCAGCCATCTTGTTCTTTATCATTTTCTTCTTAAAAAGGCAAATGACACATCAGGAACTTATCCACCATCCTATCACTCTCATATACACATTATTATCATTTTTGCATACCTTCAGAGTACATACCTGTTTTGTAGCGTGGTTGCACTCAGTCATAATATGCATGCTATTGTGTATTCAATAGGAACCATCTTGATAACAATAATGCTTTATTTTTGTGTAGTGCATATAGCTTTTCATTGTGCCTTCACATCTATTATTTCATTTGAGATCCACAACAATCCTGTGGGGTATGTAGGGCAGGCATTATTATCCCCACTTGACAAACAGTATTCACTCTATGGCGGTCTCCATGGTAACAAGGCCTTGTGGCTAAGAAGCCTGCAGTAGATTTTGATGGTATCATGAGCTAAAATGGCTTCTTCCATTTCCCTCTTCTCACTCCTAAGTTTTTTAAAACATCTTTATTGAGATGTAGTTCACATCTCATATAATTCACCCATTTAAAGTATACAATTCAGTGACTTTTATATCTTCACAGTTAGTGAAAACTATAAATTTTAAAAGATTTTCATCATCCCTAAAAGAAAACCCATATCTTTTATCTGTCACTTCCCCATCCCCCTACTTCCCAGTCCTATGCAACCACTAATCTCTTTCGCTACAGATTTCCCTATATTAATTAGCATCTCACAGTAATGTAACCATACAATATGTGGTATTTTGTGACCTGATTTATTTGACTTAGTATAATATTTTCGAGATTCATCCATGCTATAACATGTATCAGTGATTCATTTCCTTTTATGGCCTAATAATATTTCATTGTGTGGATATACTAAAGTTTGTGCAGCTGATGGACATTTAGGTTGTTTCTACCTTTTGGCTATTATGAATAATGCTGCTATAAGCATTTATTTACAAGTTTCTGTATGAACATATGTTTTCATTTCCCTTGGCTATATATCTATGAATGGAATTGTTGAGTCATGTAATTATATTTAACCTTTTGAGAAACGACCAGACAGTTTCGCAAAGTGGCTGTGCCATTTTACATTCCCCCTTGCAAGTGTATGAGTGTTCCAGTTTCCCCACACCCTTGTCAACTTTTGTTTTCATCTGACTTTTTAATTATAGCCATCCTAGTGGGTTTGAAGTGGTATCTGATTGTGGGTTTGATGTGCATTTGCCAGAAACATTTAATGTTTTATTACTGGCTTCAGTCAAAAGCAGTGGGTAAAAATCCAAATTATATTTACCAGAAGTTTCCTCCAATGATCCCTATCTGCCTTTGACTCCAGGCTCTGTGTACCTCCCACAGAGAGTGGCCTGAAGTAGCACATTTGACTCAGGGGGTTGGGTAAGGCTGGATGGATCCTTACGAAAACCTTTGTTTCCACCGTACCTGTCCTAAGACATCTACCAGTCCTCATTGACACCCAGAGACTTTTGAGGAATGATATCACTATTCATCTATAGTGATATCTGTTGGCCAGTTTAAATTAAAGGTACATTTTGACCCTAGTATCGCTTGGATGGGTTAAAGCCAGCTTTTCCTGTTTTTGAAGCCCCTTAATGTCATCTTGCCCTGTCTTTTGGCTTGGAGCATATGAATTTCTCAAGAGCTACTTTCCTACACACCCCTATAAATGTTTCTTATTCCTTTTCTCTCTCATCTCCTAATTCTTCCCGTTTCCCTCCCCCAAATATAGCCATTAACTAGATGGGAAAGTCATATCACATTTCTGTGCCACAGTTTCTCCTTCTCCAAATGGATATAATAACAACTTACCTGTCAGGGTAAGTATGAGGACAATATGAAGCCATGGGTGTGAACATGCCCTAAGAGGACTTGGCAAAGAGCAGATACTCATCACAAAGCAATATCTGTTTCCATTTCTTCACTCCAGAGATGGTGATCCTTTAGATTAAAAAGGTTGCTGAGCCCTGGCTGAGTGACCTTCCCTTACCTCTCAATTGTATAGGCTTGTTCTTCCTCTGGGATCTCAACGTAGAATAACAACCAGAAACACCAAATGGACAGCCATCGCATATATGAATTTTCATTTAGGGCATTTGGTGGCTGAATGCTTTTTGCCGAACCAGGAGGTCAGGAGTGCTGTGACCAATAAGCACATCAAGTCTCCCATTCCACAGGATAATAATGAGTTCTGCTATCACCCAAACATGGAAAATAAACCCTGCTGGGTTTGAACATGAGAATTCTCATTCCTTTCCAGCCCAACTCCAGGCTAAGGTAATAGGACAATGTACTTTTAGAACATTGGGAAGCCAGGTTTATGTAAAAGCAGCTGATGGAAAGTCCTAGGTCCTTGTTGGTATGGAGGCTAGGAGACAGGAGGCACTTGGGTGCCAGGAACAGGAGATGCTAAATTACATATGTGGGAAAAAGCAGCCACCAGGATCATCAGAAATGCTAACAGAACTGGGGGCAGGGTGGGAAACAGTTGGTAAACTCCCATTGCCAGGGTGCTTTGGCCAAACCCTTAAGGTCAGTTTGCATAAACTTATTGTCCTGTCCCGACCTGTTTTTGGCCCAAGCCCCCTACCACTCAGAGGATGTTTAATGTTACTCTGAAAGTGAACAACATTCCCTGCCTGCAAGCTTCCTGGCAGCATTGTGTCTATCTGTTCTATGCGAACCCCCACCCCCTGTATCCCGTGCCTGAGAGCTTCCAAACTAGGAAGTTGGCCAAGCCAGTGGGTAAATCAACTGTTCTTAAAACTCATTTTAGTTTTCTGGGATTTTGCAATATTTTTGGAGTTCTCTGTCTTATCTAATTTGTGAAAATGTCTCATAGTTCAGGTAAGTTAAAATCTCAGTAGCTGCCCATCCCCCTGGGGCTTGCTTCCTGAGCTCTTCCTTCTGGAAAAGCTGTGGCTCTGACAGCAGGGAGTACATGTCAGCCAGCCCTGGTCCTGTCCTCAGGCAATAATGAGATCTCATTGTTGGAGCTATACTGTCCAACCTCAGCCCCTCCCCATCATTTAGGAGTGTGATATTGCAATAACCTGGAGCTTTGAAGCTCAGTCCCTGTGAAGTTTGTGCAAGAGAAAAAGAGTAGGAATAAAATGAGAGAGGAAATTTGAGGAAACCCATTTCTCAATCAATTTCCTAATTTCCCATTAACCAAGTGGTCCAATTGAAAGCAGTTGTTAGAACATTTTTTATCTGATCTTCACATTCTCAGACTTCTTTGATTAATTAACTCAACCCCCTGCCTACTCTCTCAGGTGTGTGTGTGTGTGTGTGTGTGTGTGTGTGTGTGCGCGCGCGCGTGCGCAGGCTTTCAAATCTTTTATTACCCATCAGACCACTTGCTGCTTTATTTTCCAAAGCCAAAATCTCTTTGGTTTGGTGTTTCCATTTATAGGATCTGAAACCACTCTACGCTAACCGGTGCCACTATGTTCCCAAGACATCCCAGAAAGAAGCTGAGGAGGTGAGCCAGAATGACTAAACTTTTTTCTTTTACGGTACTCCTTTCCAGGGGCCTAAGGCTGGCTGCTTGGTATCTATATTTGATTTGCTCTTCGGATCAGAGCACAGTGCTAATAAGGTTATGCTCATAGGTTGGAGCCTCATGAGGCCTAATAAGATTTACTTTGTTCTATGGACACAGGCTGTTCCTCTGCCCCTGCAGGCAGCCTCTCAGTTTGTGGCTTTGATCCCTAGAGAAACATATAAGAGTACCGAGGCCACAGTGCAGGGTCCTTCCCCATCTCTGTGGATAATGGTTCAGTTGCCTGTGGTTCAGGTACCCAAGCTGGAAGAAAATCAGGAGCTCCACCAAGGCAGTAGGCCTAGACTAGGGGACAGATCCTGCATCCCCCCACACATGAGGAGTCAGGAAGTCAAATGAGGGTAATTGAGAGGCCTAGTTCCCTTGCAGGCTCTGGGGAGGGCCAGACTGTTAGCCTGACCCCTTTCATGAGGCCAGTCTGATAATGTTTGAATTGGGTACATGAGAGTCTCTCTCCACTGACCCATACAGCTCTCCTTGTATTTCACGTCCTTTCATGCAGAACTAGAGTTGGTGGACAGTAAGGTGAAACACAACTCCATGTCATTTTTGGAGAGCTTCCATTTCAGTACATAATAGCCCTTCCCAAACCCAGAGATCACTTTCATAGGAAACCCTACTGTGTGCTTCTAGGAACCTTGACACTTTGGTTCTCTGTTAATACCCAAATTGAACGTCGTTCTCCCTCCTGCCTCTCCCCCCCCCCCAATAGTTAGAACAAATTTAAACGTGTGATTGGGAGAAAAGAGAGACAAGTGGATATAAAATGACCACTGCATTGCACAACTTCAGGGGAAACCATTCTACATAAAATATAATGTGAAGTTATATATTTTATGGAGTTAGGCAAAGTGATAGCCCTGCTCTCAAGGCATCAGGGCAAATACTTTTTTTTATGGCCATGCAATCCACTTGCCTTCTTTTTCTTTCCCCAATTACAAATTTGCCATTTTTCTAACTGTCCCCAGGTTAGCAGGGAGGAATAGAAATATGTATGCTTATCAGAAAGGCCGTGAGCATTTGGATGAAAATGAATCCTCATTTACTATGAATATTCTCTGTAACACAACAGAACAAATTTACAAGCACTTTATTACATCTATATATCTATCCATATGTGGGAGAGAGTCTGAAAAATTTCTTACCAACAAGAGTAAATGGAAATCAATCTTTAAAATTATTTGCCAATCAAGATGGGTAAAATGTCATTGCTCTTGTTCTTGTCTTTGTTGTCATTGCTTTCTTGTGTTAATTTGGTGACTGTAAAAATGTTAATTAATAACTTCCATAGGTTCACTGATAATCCTGGTCCCCCTAACCCTATTTTTCCTATATAAGGTCATAAGTTCCTCAACCAAAAATTCTCCTTCCACGAGGGTTATGAGGAACCTTACCCAGGCAGCTAGAGAGGTACCATTGTACTTCAGAGTGCATGTGACAGTCCCTCTGTTTTCCTCCCCATCTGGTCCCCTTTTCTACACCATGACTTGCCTTCCCTTTCATATCCTCATTTCCTACTGTCTATTTGTTCTTCTGTCTGTTCTTCCATCCATCCTTCTCCTCTCCATCTCCACCTTTCAGGGATGGGGCACTGAGGGCGTGGCTGAGGCTGGATTTGAGCCCAGCTACACGGTGATTTGCTTCATACACAGTTCAGCCAGTCCCCTGCCCAGACTTCCTGTGCATTGGTGTGTTCATCTCACAGCCATCTTTACCATCTCCATCAGTCACTAACTCATACTTTAAATACCAGAGGGTCCTGCCTCCCATGCAATGCCAGCTCATTTCCTCACTGTTCTGTGCCCTCAGGTGAACTGCCCTCACCTCAGCCGTGGATTCTGCACGCCTCGCATCCGGGGAAACACCTGCTTCTGCTGTGACCTCTACAACTGTGGCAAGTAAGAGTGGAGCCTCCAGGCATGGGAATATTGGTTTGATCACAATGGATAATGGAAGGGCTAAGATGGGGGAAGGGCATGCCATAGGGATCAAAGAAGTAGAAGACACTGATCAGTTACCAGATTTCAGCCCAGATCTGTTACCTGCCTTCTCTGTGCCAGGAAGCATATCAAGTGCTTTTAAATATTTGATCTAATTTCATTCTTGTCTATGATGTCTGTAGAATTGTTATCCCCATTTTACAGATGATTAGAGTGAGGCTCAGATGACACAGACAACTAGCCCAAGGTCACACAGAAGTTGAAAATGATAGAGATAGGGTCAAACAGAGTTCTAAGTCAAAAAATTGAATAACACTGAACAAGTTGCCCTAGCCAGTTTGGTTCAGTGGATAGAGTGCCAGCCTACAGACCAAAGAATCCCGGGTTTGATTCAGGTCAAGGGCAGGCACCTTGGCTGCAGGGTCCTCCCTGGCCCGGGTCCTGGTTGAGGCTCGTGCAGGAAGCAACCAATTGATGTGTTTCTCTCACATTGATGTTTCTCTGTCTTTTCCTCTCTCTAATAATCAATGGGAAAATATCCTTGGGTGAGGATTAACAAGTCATTATTGAATACTTTCTCTGTGCGTGGGCCTATTGTAGACTCTGGATATTCAACAGCAAACAAAACAAATATCCTTGCCCTATTGGAGCTTCTATTTTATTAGGGAAATCAGTCAATAAAGATGAATATATAGGGTTGGGCAAAAGTAGGTTTACAGTTGTTCGTATGGAAAATAATACAATAATTTAAAAATATTTATAGAAGAATAAACTTCGTGTTTTGAGTACTCACAACTATAAACCTACTATTACATCACCCTGTATAACATGCCAAGTATTAATCAGAGCATTGAAAAAAAAAAGAAGCATGAAAGGCAGATAGATAGTAACAGGAGGGGGAATGTGTGTGCTGTGCTAGATGGAATATCCAGGGAAGGCCTCTTTGAGGAGGAGACATTTGTGTAGAGACCTGAGTAATGTGAGAGGGAAACCCAAGTACCCTGTTTCCCTGAAAATAAGACACTTTCTTATATTAATTTTTCCTCCCAAAGTTGCGCTAGGTCTTATTTTCAGGGGATGTCTTAGTCTTTCCATGCGCTAGGTCTTATTTTCAGAGGATGTCTTATTTTCGGGGAAACATGGGTAGATACCTGGGGGGAAAAGTTTTTCAAGCAGAGAGAACAGCAAGTGCAAAGGTCCTGAGCCAGGAGCAGAATTGGTGCTATTTCTGCTATAACCATTCTGGTTCTCTGCCCTCCAATTGTGAAAATATCATTTATTCTTTCTTTCAAAACAAAAAGAGCTAAGAATATAGAGACTACTGCTGTGGAGTTCACAAGCTAGTAGGGAAGACAGATACCTGAACAATTTATTGCAATGTAGTATGATAAGTGTGGTGGGGAATCAGTGGATGTACTGGGGACACTGGAAACACAAATGATTGAAAGTCAGAGTTGCTGGGGGGTGCAGTGTCAGGGGGAGTTGGTGTGGGAGCTGAGAATTAAAAGATAAATAGGAAGTTAGGAAACAAACTAAAAGTGGGTGGAAGTTGGGAAATATTCCCAAGCATTGTGGGGGTGGGGTTCTACAGTTATACAAGGGGGTAGGTGGTAAGAACAGAGTTGTAGTCGCAAGTCAAATTATGGAGGGCTCCTTGGCCATAGAAATGCCTTTGGACTTGACTCTGTAAACAATTGGGATCCATTGGAGGATATAGCATGGAAAATTGATTTGAGTGTTTAGAAAGGAACTAGGGGGTCACTGCAAGAGTTCAGACGAAAGAGAAAGGATCCTGGATTAAGTTGCTTTGGAGATAATAGACAACACTCAAGAGCAATTTAGAAAGTAAAATTGACAGGAATGCATGAGCAAAAGATAGAGTATAAGTGAATAGCACTGCCTGTGGGGTGTGTCAGCCAATTCCTGCCCATGCACATATTTTCTCTAGACTCTCAGTGCAGGAATGCTGAGGTCCAGGAGAGGGAGGTAGGAAGGAGGTGTTGGCAGAAGTCTGAATGGAGCTAGATCCAGAGGGGTCAGATGGATGCAGGCCCCCTCCTCACTCGCTTCCTGTATGGGGCGGGGTAGTTTCTCTAAATTGAGGATTAAAACCAGACAGATGGACAGACTGGAGGCAGGGAAGAGAAGGGATGAACACACACCAGTCCTTTACCTTCTTTGCTAGCATCAGTCTCATTTCGTTAAAAGGTTTGGTGGAGGAAAGGAAACTTAAATGAGGTTTGGGGATTATTTGGGAGGTTTAATTATTCATGTTATAATAACTAAGTAAAGGACTTCCCTCCTGGCAGCAGTGATTGAGAGCTGGCTATAATTGTACTTCCTGAGTCCATCCTTCAAAACATGATCAAAGCAATGTAAAATGGGTCCCAGGGGAATTGGGGCTCTGTTGCTATCTTTCCTTTAGCCTCTCTTTATCCCTCCCTCCCCTGCTCTGCCATTTCCTCTCTTTTTTCCTCCTCCCTCCTCTTAACAGCCTCTTTCCTACTCCTTGCTCCCCTTTCCTTTCCGGATTCAAGGCCTCCTGGGGCGGGAAAGGGGAGGGGGCAGCTGGAAGTTGGCCAGAATAGGGCCTGAGATATGAGAATTAAACAAAAGGCTCACTGAGGAGGCTGAGAATAGATTCCTTACAGACACACCTTTCTCTTTGCAATTAAGTGTATTTCTGATGAAGGTTTGAGTAAACTAAATCCTACTTTAAATTCCATTTAGCTGAGCCCTTAGATTTCTTTTTAAAGTGGAGACTCAAGCCCAGTTTATCTTTCTGTCAAATCTAATCTTCATAATAAGTGACTTTCTCATTTTTTTCTTTAATTCTCACCAGAGGATATTTTTTCCATAGATTTTTAGAAAGAGTGGAAGGGAAAGAGGGAGAATGAGAGAAAGCGAGAGCGAAGAAGAGGTTAAGAGAGTGAGAGCGATTTGAGAAAGACGAGCGAGATTTGAGAAAGACACGAACGAGAGCGAGAGCAAGAGCGAGAGCGCGATTTGAGAAAGACACAACCGAGAGCGAGGTTTGAGAAAGACACGAGCGAGATTTGAGAAAGACAAACGAGAGTAAGAGCGAGAGCGAGATTTGAGAAAGACACAAGCGAGATTTGAGAAAGACACGAGCGAGATTTGAGAAAGACAAACGAGAGTAAGAGCGAGAGCGAGATTTGAGAAAGACACAAGCGAGATTTGAGACAGACACGAGCGAGAGTAAGAGCGAGAGCGAGATTTGAGAAAGACACGAGCGAGATTTGAGAAAGACACAAACGAGAGTAAGAGCGAGAGCGAGATTTGAGAAAGACACAAGCGAGATTTGAGAAAGACACGAGCGAGAGTAAGAGCGAGAGCGAGATTTGAGAAAGACACGAGCGAGAGTAAGAGCGAGAGCGAGATTTGAGAAAGACACAAGCGAGATTTGAGAAAGACACGAGCGAGAGTAAGAGCGAGAGCGAGATTTGAGAAAGGCACGAGCGAGAGTAAGAGCGAGAGCGAGATTTGAGAAAGACGAGCGAGATTTAAGAAAGACACGAGCGAGAGTAAGAGCGAGAGCGAGATTTGAGAAAGACACGAGCGAGATTTGAGAAAGACACGAGCGAGAGTAAGAGCGAGAGCGAGATTTGAGAAAGACACGAGCGAGAGTAAGAGCGAGAGCGAGATTTGAGAAAGACACGAGCGAGATTTGAGAAAGACACGAGCGAGAGTAAGAGCGAGAGCGAGATTTGAGAAAGACACGAGCGAGAGTAAGAGCGAGAGCGAGATTTGAGAAAGACACGAGCGAGAGTAAGAGCGAGAGCGAGATTTGAGAAAGACACGAGCGAGAGCGAGATTTGAGAAAGCACATGTGTCAAACACAAGGCCCGCGGGCCAAATCCGTCCCGCCAGGCCTTGCAATGTGGCCCGCACCGCGCTGTCATCACTGCACTCCGCTGCGTTTCCATCACAATGACAGTTTATGACTGTTCAGTAAACCATTCGGCCCGCGATTTAGGCTGGATTTTAGATTTTGGCCCCTTCTCTGATTGAGTTCGACACCCCTATTCTAAAGGAATTTTATGAGGAGCTGTGCTAAACTCTAGGCTCACTAAAGGCAGTAAACATAACTTCATGTCATCTATATCCCAGGCTCCACCCAACACCAGCCCAGGCATGAGTAAAAGCCTAATGAAAAGGGAGTGAACATTTGTTGAAAAGGAACAAAAAGAGGAACATCCTTTTCACCAGGAAAATAAAATATGGGACTAGGCAACTAAGAGGGTCATGGGGACATTGCTCTTAAAGATCTTCAACCTGGAAATGGTTTTCACCTACCTGGTGCCTGGTGACCAGCCTCAGGCAGCAGTCAAGGCCCTTTCCAAAGTATTTCATGCTAAGATTCCAAGAGCAAGGCCACTAGAAAAGCACTTACTAAGCTCTTCATCAGGAAACCGTCACACTAGGTCATAAATCAAGACCATGAGACTTAAGAGGTGATGATCCTCCAATAGAGGAGAAAGTTTACCTTGACCCAAGGCTTTGTCCAGCCAGCGCCCGAAGAGACCTAAACTCCTGGCCTAAATATAGCTAGCTGCAAGCATTCTGGGGCTCAGTGTCTTTAATTTTGCCGAATACGTATTTGTTTTCCTCACATGAAGCCTATTTTTAATCAATTGCGAGATTCTTCAGTCCGTTTCCTGGAAAGGAGGCCAAGAAAAAAAAAAAGTGGCAACAAACACATCAGGCAGTCATTTGTTCAGTGCTACGGAAACAGAGTTGCTACTGTCCCCTCTAAGCCACAGACTTCTCTGACGTCAGGGGCAGTGAGGTTTTAATAGCAAACATAGATTATTTCATTTTGCCTGGTGCAGGAAGGTGGCTTTCTCTAGGATACAGCTCCTCAGTAGCAGCCTTTCAAAGCACTTTACTCAGCTTTGGAGAGGCCAAGTCGATATCACTGGTTTTCACTGTATAACTTAAAGGAAGTGAAATGAAACTCTGGTGGTTTGTGAACTGCTTCAGCTGGTAATAAAATGAAAGATGATAGCTTAGTTTCACTCATTTCTTCCTTTGACAAAGTTTTATCAAGCTCCTACTATGTGCCCGAGACTATTCTAGAAGAATACCTTTCAATAAAATATAATTTTACTCTTAAGGAACTCAATTTCCCAGGGAGATTGTGGGAAGGGGTGGGAGATTAGACAGAATGCACAGAGGCTGCCCTTGTCATTGCCTGCTAATCAAGAGTTGGCATGTGGTTCCAGGCTCTTATTTAAGAGCAGAAGCATGCCCTTCTGCTTTATCCAGGATCTGTTGCCTCCTATTTGAATAAATGGGATCCAAAACACAGGTACACCCAGCAAGGGGACGAGAGCCCATTATTGAGTGATAATCTCATGATCAATGCAATGATCAGTCTTTGAACTGTTATTCATTCACCAAGTACCTATTGATGACCTATAACATTTCTACAACTGTGCAAGGCAGTGAGGGAGAAAGAAATGTAGGTAAAAGACCATCCTTGCCCTCAAGAGATCGCAATTTAGACAGAGACATAATGTCTACTTTGGCTTGGTTGTAGCTTCGGTACCCAGCACAGTACTCAATACTGAGTAGGCTCACAATAGACATTGGATTAAATGAATAACTGAATTATTGACATATGTAAAGTACAAACTAAGAAAAACAGGCTCTCTCTAGCCAGTGTGGCTCAATGGGTAGCACAACAGCATGCAGACCAAAGGATCCCGGTTCGATGCCAGTCAAGGGCACTTACCTCGGTTTCAGGCTCCTCCCCAGCCTGAACCCTGGTTGGGCCTCATGCAGGAGGAAGCAACCAATCAATGTGTTTCTCTCACATCGATATTCCTCTCTGTCTTTCCCTCTTTCTTCTACTCTCTCTAAAAATCAATTGGAAAATATTCTCAGGTGAGGATTCAAAAAAAAGAAAAAGAAAAACAGACTCTTCTGAGGCTATGGGAGTCCAGGTAAAAGGCTAATGAATTGGCACTGGAGTCCTTGAAGAAAGCCCTAGTGAGGTTGACTATTGAAGTTTTGAGCAGTAGAAGAGATTAGGATAGGCAGAGAATAGAAGGCAGCATCTTGCACACAGGGGGAGAAATCTGAGCAAATTTTGGAATAAGTGCCCAGCAAGGCCAATTGGGGACTCCAGCCTAGCCGGAGTGTGAACTCCATTTTAGAGTCAGATTATGGCAGACTGAGGAATTTGGACACATTTTCCTGAAGATAATGGGAAGCCATGGAAGGGTTTTGATTAAATGAATGACTTAGTTTTTTAAATGTTTTAGGAAGCTAAATCAGGCAGTGGTAGGGTCTGGCAGGGGATCCCTGCAGCCATGGAGGCTTGAGGGTAGGAGTGCTGAGAATGCAAAAGATGAAATTCCAGAGGAAGTTCTGCAATTCCAGAGACTAACCCAAATGGAACCATAAATCTCAAACAGAAACAAACCACACTATTTTGCTAAATCCTGAGCCAGATCTAAGTATTAACAGTCTTTTGCTTCATAGTTCAATAAAAAATATTTCAATAGCTACTGAACCCACTCAAACAGAAACCAAATATATATTCTCTACAATCACTGAATATTTTATTTTATTTTTAAAAATATATTTATTTATTTATTTTTTACAGAGAGGAAGAGAAAGTAATAGTCAGAAACATCGATGAGAGAGAAATATCAATCAGCTGCCTCCTGCACACCCCCCACTGGGGATGTGCCCGCAACCAAGGTACATGCCCTTGACCGGAATCGAACCCAGGACCCTTCAGTCTGCAGGCCGATGCTCTATCCACTGAGCCAAACGGGTTATGGCTAGAATTACTGAATATTTTAAAACAAACTGCTGATCTATCATGTGGTAGCCTGTGCCTTTAAAGTATTAATGCCTTTAAAAACAAGATTCCAAGTTGAATCTTGTTGCCAGCGGCTGGCTCTTAGAAGGGAAAAAAATATATAGCTGCATGTTTTGGTGGGGGCTCTTATTATGCGCTGGAGTGCTGCTTTCATACATTCTCTAATTAAATCCCGTAGGCCCAGAAGGGTTAAGAAAGTTGTTCAGGGTCAGGCCACAAATAAGTGACAGAGCCAGGGTTCAAATGCAGTCGTACTCCAGAGTTTGCTATACTGTATCTATATGTACTGCCAGCCTGCCCTCAGTGTTTTAGAAGGTAGGCATAGATAACTTGGTGGCAGTCAGAAGCCTCTCCTGGGTCTCTACAAGCCCACTTTCCCTTACACCCATACCTATCCTTTCCAGGGGATAGTCCCTGTCCACTGTGCCTTTTTGAGTTTAAGTAATCTGTGTGTCCTCCCTACCCCATTCCCAGGACTGAGTACAGTGCCAACTAACAAAAGACACTCAATGTATGCTTATGGATGGTCTCTTCAATTATGTTCTAGAAAATACTTAAATCCAATTAAAATTCTGATGAATTGAAATACCTTTAAAATTCCACTACGGCAGCTTACTATGTACAACAGTGGTTCTCTAACAACAATGACCATGTTAACACAGATTCCTGAGCCTCACCCTCCACCCCCCAATTCTGCCACATTCAGTAGGACTGAGGCTGGGCCTAAGAATCTGAGTGTTAACTAGCTCTTTCTCAAAGACATATGATCATACACAAAGACACCCATAGGCACACACAAATAATGTATATATTTTTATTGATTTCAGAGAGGAAGAAAGGAGAGATAGAAACATCAATGATGAGAGAAAATCATTGTGATCAGCTGCCTCCTGCAAGCCCCTCTACTGGGGATGGAGCCCTTGTGAGCATGAGCCCTTGACCAGAATCGAACCTGGGACCTTTCAGTTCGCAGGCCAAGGCTCTACCCACTGAGCCAAACTGGCTAGGGCAAGAATCACTATTGCTTCCAGTGGTCAAGTTGTAAATTAGTTTGCCACATCCAGGAGGACAGGAACTTCATTTATTCGTTCACCAGGTATTTATGTAGCATCAACTACGTTAGGCACAGGGGCTGCCATAACAAAATACCAGAGACTGGATAGCTTCAACAACGTATTTTCTCACAATTCTGGAGGCTGGAAGTCTGAGATCAGGGCGACAGCATGCTCGGGTTCCCATGAGAGCTTTCTCCTAGCTTGCAGATGGCAGCCTTTTCACTGTGTCTTCTCGGGGTCTGTGTACGGAGATATCTCTCTCTCTCTCTCTCTCTCTCTCTCTCTCTCTCTCTCTCTCTCTTTCTCTTTTGAAATTTGTAAAGCCCCCAATCCTATTGGATTAGGGTCCCACTCTTATAACTAATCTAACCTTAATTACCTCCTACAAGCCCTTCTGCAAGTACAGTCTCAATGGGAGTTAGGGCCCCAACATACGAATTTTGGTCACATGCAGTCCATAGCAAGTAATGTGATAGAGAATGACTGAGCTTTGGGGGTGGGGGTTGTCTTTAGACAGAATGGTCAGGGAAGACCTCTCCAAGGAGATGGTAGGTTTTGTTCAGCAACTCGGCTGTAGTTCTTTATTGGGAAATTGTTTTGTTTTTTAATATATTATTAATTTCAGAGAGGAAGGGAAAGGGGGAGAGAGATGGAAACATCAATGACGAGAGAGAATCATTGATCAGCTAGCTGCCTTCTGCATGCCCTCTACTGGGAGTTGAGCCCAAAACCTGGGCATGTGCCCTTGACCAGAATCGAACCCTGGACCCTTCAGTCCACAGGCTGACACTCTATACACTGAGTCAAACCAGCTAGGGCTGTTGATGTTTTGTTTTATCTTGAGAAAGGAAATACTGATATTTTTGAAGTCTGAATTCAGATCCCAGCACTACCTCTTATGACTTGAGCAAGTTCCTAACCTCTATGTGCTTTAGTTTATTCATCGATAAAAAGGGAATAGTGATAGTACCTACCTCACAGAGTATTTTAAGGATTTACCGTACTGTCTGTTAGAACTTTATGCGATGATGGAAATGTTCTGTAATCTGCTCTGTCCAGCACAGTAACCAGCCACTAGTGTGGCTATTGAGCATGTAACACGTGGCTGATGAGACTAAAGAACTGAATTTTTAAAATTTTACTTTATATTAATGAATTTAAACTTATATAGCCACATGTGACTAGTAACTGCCATATTAGCACAGTTTTAATGAATTTACATATGTAAAATTCTTAACACTGTGCCTGGCATATTGCCAGGTGTCAATAATGCCATCTAGGATTAGTGTTAATGATAACAAGTGTTTCTCTGGGCAGGTAGTAGTTTTTTGTTGATTTCTAATAAACAGCAATTACACTTGGATTTATCATAGTTTCTTGCTCCCCAAGTGCATTCATACCTATGATGTCCCTTATGATAGTTAACCTGTTTTTCATTGAGCTGGGTGGTAGCCAAAGCCTTAGGGGCCCAACCTGCTCCCTGGGGACTGACTGAAGTGTGCTTCTCCCTGTCCAGCCGGGTGGAAATTACTGGTGGGTACTATGAATACATCGATGTCAGCAGTTGCCAGGACATCATCCACCTCTACCACCTGCTCTGGTCTGCCACCATCCTCAACATCGTTGGCCTGTTCTTGGGCATCATCACTGCCGCTGTTCTTGGAGGATTTAAGGACATGGTAAGGAAGGGTTTTCCCTTTCCACAGAGGTGAGAGCCAGGCTGGGGTAAGGAACAATGGGCATATTTTGAAGGAAGGAATCAGAAGCAATTACTTAAAAAATGTAACTGCCTTCAAACATCTGCAAATATTTCTTGTTAACATGAGTTGCTTGTGTTCTTATGGCACATTCTGGGGTAGAGGGAGAGGAAGGTGTTATCAATTTTCTGGTTCATGCTGGTTATGTAAATACTAGAGGCCCAACGAGTGAAATTTGTGCAAGGGGCTCGGCTCTCGCAGCCCTAGCTTCGTCTGGAAGGACATCTGGAAGATCATTTGGCTGTCCAGTCTAATTATCATATTATGCTTTTATATAGATAACCTTTTCAAACTCTTCCCTACCCTAAACGCACTTTTAACATAAATATTTTAGGGTAGTTTTTCCCCAACAGACTTGGGGAGAGATGGAAGGAAAGAGTTGGTTTTTCAAAATCATTATTGTTGAGAGTATTACAGATGCCCACCTCATTTCTCCCCCATTGCCCCTCTATATCTGATTCCTGTGGTGTTTTTTTTTTTTTTTAGCTACAGGTAAGAGTAATGATAGTTTTCCCCTCTCAGTAATTTCATCATGGAGTTTCTCCAGAAAGAGCATCTGGACTCCCCTTTTTACTCCCCCCCAACCCCCTGCATTTGAAGAGCCAGCTGTGGGCTAAACTGCTTGCCAGGTCTTATCCTCAACCTCAACCTCAATCATAGCCTCCCCACATTCTCTAACGTCTCTTTCAACTCTTTTTTCATCTTTTTGTGTATGAGTATCTGCAAAGGCATGCCAGGACTCAGCACCCAGTAGGTGCTTCATAATAGTGGGCTCCTTTTTTTCTTTTGTTTTTAAAGCATTTCTAAGCTTTTCTTTGCTTATTTAATAAACCTTGATCTCAAATTATAGAGATAACTGGAGGCCCGTTGCACAAAGATTTGTGCAATAGGCCTTCCTTCCCCTGGCTGCCAGCACCGGTTTTCCTCCAGCACCTGGGACCCACACCTTCACTCTGGCAGAAGCCTTCAGTCGTCGCTCCAGCTGGAGCACCACTTCTGTAGCTCCCTCTGCTCCGCACCTGCATGCATGCTGCCCAAAGACCTGGAGCAGCTGGAGGGCGGGGCTGCCACCATCTTTGTCTGGTTAATTTGCATACTCACTCCTGATTGGCTGGTGGGAATCATGGAGTGATGGTCAATTTGCATGTTTCTCTTTTATTAGTGTAGATAGCTTTAGAACTGATTATCCTCCTGGCTTCCTATGAGAATATAATCAATTGAGGTGCTTAAAAACCCCAGATTCCTGGGCCCCTCCTCCAGAGATTCTTATTTAAATGGTCTAAATTGGCCAAAACAGGTTTGGCTCAATGGATAGAGCAGTGTTTCCCAACCTTCTCTCATGATGAGCATCACCTGGTGGAGTTGTTAAACCACAGATTCCTGAATCCCAACTAAGAAGGGCTAAACTAGGATTTTTGGGAACATATAGGTAAGATTGTATACTTAACTAGTGCTAGAGCAATTTTACCTATATGTCCCCAAAAATTCTAGTTTAGCCCTTCTTAGATGGGATTCAGGAATCTGTGGTTTAACAACTCCACCAGGTGATGCTCATCATGAGAGAAAGTTGGGAAACATTGGGATAGAGCATCAGCTTGGGGACTGAAGGGTCCCAGGTTCGATTCTGGTCAAGGGCATGTACCTTGGTTATGTGCACATCCCCAGTAGGGGGTGTGCACGAGGCAGCTGGTTGATGATTCTCTCTCGTCGATTATTTTTTGTTTTTTTTTTTAATATATTTTATTGATTTTGTACAGAGAAGAAGGGAGAGAGATAGAAGAGTCAGAAACATCCATGAGAGAGAGTCATCGATCAGCTGCCTCTTGCACACCCCCTACTGGGGATATGCCCACAACCAAAGTACATGCCCTTGACCGGAATCGAACCCGGGACCCTTCAGTCCCCAAGCTGACGCTCTATCCATTGAGCCAAACCGGTCTCGGCTCTCATCGATGTTTCTAACTCTCTATTCCCTCTCTCTCTTCCTCTCTGTAAAAAAAATCAATAAAATATATATATTTTTTAAAAAATAAAAATAGCCGAAACTGGTTTGGCTCAATGGTAGAGTGTCCGTCTTCAGACTAAAAGGTCCCAGGTTCGATTCCGGTCAAGGGCATGTACATTGGTTGCGGGCACATCCCCGGTAGGGGGTGTGCAGGAGGCAGCTGGTCAATGTTTCTCTCTCATCGACGTTTCTAGCTCTCTATCTCTCTCCCTTCCTCTCTGTAAAAAATAAAAATAAAAAGTAAAATAAAAAATAAATAAAATAAAATAAAATAAAAAATAAAAATAAATGGTCTAAATTGAAGCCCAGGTGATTCTGATCTGCAGTCAGGACTGCATACCATTGCTTCAGTGTTTCCCAAACTTTTCTCATGATGAGAATCACCTGGTGGAGCACTAGTTAAGAATACAATTTTACCTATATGTTACCAAAAATTCTAGTTTAGCACTTCTTAGTTGGGATTCAGGAATCTGTATTTTAACAACTCCACCAGGTGATTCTCATCATGTGAGCATTTGGGAAATACTGCAAAGGAATGTCCCTCATGTGTTTAGGGAATTATTTTGTACCTAAAAGGGGTTTTTCTTTGACCCCAGAAATGAGACCGATAGCCTCTAGGCCCTTGGCTATTTCTGTCCCATTTTGGGGTCCCTGAGGAACAAGAACCTGAAAGGCAGTTTGTAATTTAACTCTGTACTGTCAAAAGGCTGCGTAATGGAAAATGAAAGGTGGACTAAAGAAAAACTCTGCAGTTTTGGGCAGCAAATCCCTGGCAGAATCAGGCTGACTGGAAGCATTGAGTGTTCCTGCTGGTGACTCTTAAGTGAAATCTTTTCCTGCTCATGCCCAGTCTGTCTGTCTGTTTCTCTCTCTCTTTTGTATGTGCACTTTTCATTCCCATGCCCCTTCTCCCATTCAGGAAAGCCCAAGCACAGAGGAGTGGAGGAAGCATCAACAAGGTGGGGCCCTCAGTAGTAGAAGGAGCAGGAAGAAGGAGGAGGGAGAAGGATTTCCGGTTTGGGCCTGAGGGAACTTTGGGTGTGAGAAAAACTGTTTCTGGGTTGGGGCTTTTTTTTGGAGAAAAGAACTTCCTTTGTTCTTGAAGAATTTCCCCAGGGTATAGGTGAAAGCTGAATCTAAAATAGGCCGGCTGGTGTAGAAGCTCCTAGGTTGGTAAGTTGAGGAGATGGGTCATGAGGACCAGTGTGAAAAGTACTCTGAATCATTCCTAGAGCATTCAGACATGGGCACAAATGGAGTGGGTGATGGCTACTTGGTAGTTTCAATGAGGTTCCCGGCAAGGACCCCTGTCAAGACTCAGTGGACCATTGATGTCTAGGTTTATTTCTGATTCATAACTTCACTGTGACCTTTGCTCTCTATGGTAAGGTGACCGACGTCCCGCTTTTGGTGGGACAGACCCGATTTTTAACAATTTGTCCCACGTCCTGCAGCGTTTTTAAAAAGTCCCGATTTTTTCCAAAAGCGGGACGTCTGGTCACCTTACCCTAGGGGGGAAAAGGGGTTTGTTGATGGTCTGTCCTCATAGGTGGCAGCAATGGCCCTTTACTTTCTATGAAGTACTTTTACACAGTTACTTTCTCCGATCTACTAGTAACTTGTGAAGTAAGTAAGTATTACTGCCCCAATTTCACAGATAAGGGGCCAACAGAGATCAAGTGATTTGCCCAGAGTTAAACAGCAGAGCTGGGACTGAAGCCCAGGTTTCTCAAATGCCAGAGCCTTTCTATTCCATCCCAGATTCTCTTAACTAGCATGTGGATAGCCTTTTCTAATTCTACAAATGTTTTAACAGAAATTACCTCCTTTGTTTTGATGCTTTAATTTCAAAAAAATTAAAGCAAGTTGTTTACAACTGTTGGGAGCTCCTTCAATAGTAAAGGAGGAGAGCAAGGGAAATTTTGTTCAATATCAAATGCCAATCAAGCCCAAGAACTCAGGCAAGGACCAGTGAGGAAAACAAAAGATGAAAGCAAAGATCAGGGGGCAAGATATTTGATTCCTAAGGTGATAGAATACTAATAGGAGAGTGAGATGGGGCCACCATGGAAGAATTACTTAGCTCGTTGTATTAAAATTATACATGATGTATAAAATCCTGGAACATCAACCAAATAAACCTAACTAAAATCCACAGCCTACATCCAAATGTGGCTAGAGACTTATGATGTACCTTCCCTCTGAGTGGAATGCCCTGAGGTCCGCACAGAGACTCAGGGGTGCTGGCTGATGAAAGCCATTCCCTAGGGAGTAAGGATAGAAGCCAAGGGCTGTGAGCTGGCAGTCTTCAACAGGATCAGCTAAGAGCCACCATTTCCAGAATTGTGGGATTTTGAAAGGAAAAAGGAGGACTTCATTCCCTGACCAGAGGTATTTGGTTAAAAGGATCTTAAAGAAATGTTTGATAAAATATTTGCTGACCAAAGCTATAAGGATTAGAAATGAATCTTTCAAAAGTGATATCTTATCATTTTCTCCTAATGGTTGTCTCTGGTTTGGAGTAAAGTGGGGAGGAATAAAAGTGGCAATCTTTCCAAAGTCTGCAATTATTGTCTCAGAACAGACTCTGCTTTATCCAGACTAGATTCCTTTCAATGTTTTCTGTGCTACCTAGGAGCCTTTATTGCACTGGAGTTTAAAAAGCTACTGATCAGTAATGGGAGTCTCATAGCTTAAACTCTAGAAATTTTTAAAATATATATTTTATTGATTTTTTACAGAGAGTAGGAGAGAGTGATAGAGAGCTAGAAACGTCGATGAGAGAGAAACATCAACCAGCTGCCTCTTGCACACCCCCTACCGGGGATGTGCCTGCAACCAAGGTACATGCCCTTGACCGGAATCGAACCTGGGACCTTTCAGTCCGCAGACCGACGCTCTACCACTGAGCCAAACTGGTTTCAGCAAACTCTAGAAATTTTAATAGAAATACACACACTCCTGTATACACACACAGAGACAGTGCCCAGCTCTTGATTATCCATACAAATGGAGAAGGTTTTGATGACATGGAAAATGGAAAAAATATTTAAATTTATTGTAAAAATATTTAAATTTATTGTAAAATCAGAATTATTGCTTTAAAACATAACCAAACCATTTATTTGGGGCCATCTCTTTTGCTTCTTCCCTGCCCAACTCTTCACTCCACCTTCCTTCAACCCCTTACCTTATCTTGTTGCCCTGCCCATTTTCTCTATCTGTCCTCTACTCCTAACTTTCTTCTCTCTATAGCGTTTCAGTGCTCATTCTATCTTCCTTTTATATTTTTGTGTTTCTTTCTCTATAATAGTTAACTTCTTTTCAAAGATTATCCTGGCCCCCTGGACTTGGTAAACACACACACAAAAAAACTTATAGAGTTTATATTGCATGATTGTTTCTCTCTGGTTAGGCTTAATTTATTTGCAAAGAAGAACTGGTTTCACTTTGCAAGAGCTAGAGGGTGTGTTTGTTTGTTTGTTTGTTTGTTTATTGGTGGATATTATTGAGATGTCATTGGTGACCTTTCATTTTTAGGAAAAGAAATCTATGAAAACAAAGTAATGACAATGATAAAGCATTGAATGTAGAAATACTCTAATTGGATGCCAAGTTATAAAAATACTATTTATCTTCTAACCTCTTTAACTCAATACAAATAATTAATGCATTACTTGTTTAATTAATTACTACATCAAGAATCAAAATTGGCCATATGTTAGCTATATAGTTGGCAAAGATATTTGGAAGTATTTTGTTGTTCTGAGAAAGTACACAATGAATCATTGATCTATTATGATATATTAGATAAACCATGCTATTGTACCCAAAGCATTAGCACCCAAGTATTCTGATAAAGATGGATAATGACTACCTAATTCACCTTGGTTAGTCATATCTCTTTTGATTATAGAGAGTGGTTTTTTTAATTGACAGAATGCCTAGGGAATATGATTTCTGGGATTTCCTCAGGGATGAAATTTCTTCTTACATTTCTGGTGGAGAGGTAGGGGCATTTCTGAGCACTCTTGTTCTGTAAAGTGAACAAACCCTTGGGATCCAAGATCTCAGCTCTCTCCCACAAATGAGAGAGGCTAACAAACATTTCTCTGGTTATCTGTGAGCTGCATCATAATGACAGGTTTATAGCTCTTTAAGCCTCCTAGAAATGTAAACAGTAACCCACACCAAGGAAGAGAGCAGCAGAACTGTGTTGAAACTTGCTATGAGGGAGTTTCCCCCTGCCAACACCTCAATATGGTTGCCTGTGCCACTGCCAAAGCCTGCCCACACATTTTTATCACTTGAGAGTAAGCTTCTGTTTTCTATTAATATAGAGTATACTAGAGGCCCAGTGCACAAAAATTTGTGCACTCGGGAGGGGGGGTCACCTCAGCCCAGCCTGCACCCACTTGCAGATCGAGACCCCTCAGGGGATATCTGACTGCCAGCTTAGGCCCAATACCTCGCTCTCCATGGGGGAAGTGGGCCTAAGCCATAGTCGGACATCTTAGTGCTACTGAGGACCTAGGAGAGGTCAGTCCAGCTTGTGGCTGAGCAGAGCTCCTGCTGTGGGAGCACACTGACCACCAGGGGCAGCTCCTGCATTGAGCATCTGCCCCCTGGTGGTCAGTGTGCATCATAGCGACCAGTCATTCCACCTTTTGGGTCAATTTGCATATTACCCTTTTATTATGTAGCATGTGTACCAGAAATAAGACACGTTGATTTTGAAAACAGCTCTTGATTATCCATACAAATGGAGGTTTCAATGACATAGAAAATGGAAAAAATATTTGCCTCACACCTTTACCCATATGGCACTCAAAAGATACAAATCACAATCCTCTTTAGGAATTAATGAATAGTGGTGACTTCCTTTATCAATGCTTTGGCCCTGTTGGAAGCAGGACTTCCATCCGGGACAAGATTAGCCTTAACATTTAAAGGCCTATACATATCACCATATTAAAATGGTATTTAATTTTTTCTGCATTGTTTTGTTTGCAAAAAATAATCAGTATACTCTGCTTGGTCATTCCTGGTTTCTGTTCACTGCTAGGGTTTTGCCTCCAGCCTGCAGAGCTGATGAGAAATAAATACACTTCATGTCTATGTGGGAGCTCCTTCGAAGGATTAGAATCTACCAGAATCCTCACAACTCTTAAAATCCCTTTGTGATCCATCACATTTTTATCATAGCAAGATATTTGACATTGTGTATTATGGGTCTTATTTTTTTTTCTTTTAAAATATCACAAATAAATAATTTTAACTTTTCTATAGGTTTGAATTTTTCAAAATAAGCTGAGAGAAATGACACAAATATTCTTATTAGTTGTAAAAACTCTGGCTATATAACAGAAAGTGAAGAGTCCTCATTTAACACCTACTACTACTCCCCTTTCCAGATATAACCACAGTTAACAGTTTGTTGTGAATCTTTCCAGATTACGTAATTTCATTTACAACATATATTCATATATAATTGTTTAGGTCTTTATTTTTACATAAAGTGGGATCATGCTATATTAATATAACATGGTGGCTTCCTTATTTATTTATTTATTTATTTATTTATTTATTTATTTGGAAAGAATTTATTCTGACTCAGTCCATTGTGTATCTCCCAGATATTTTCATATTTCCATGTAGTGATTTGTTAGATGTGGTGGCTTCCTTTTTAAAGACTTGTTTTTTGAGCACTTTTAGGCTTACAACAAAACTGAGAGGAAGATAGAGATTTCCCACATACCCCATGCCCCCATACATACATAGCCTATTATCAACATCCCCCACCAGAAAGGTACATTGTTACCAAGGATGAACCTATATCGACTCATCATAATCACCCAAAGTCCATAGTTTACCATATATTCACTCTTGGTATTGTACATTCTAGGGGTTAGATAAATGCATAATGACATATTCATCAGTGTAACATCATATAGAGTATTTTTACTCCCATAAAATCCTCTATGCTCCACCTACTAATCCCTCCCCCCAACCTCAACCCTTGGCAACCACTAATCTTTGTCTCTATAGTTTTGCCAGTGGCTTATTTTTTTTTTTAATTTAACAATATATCCTGGACAACGTTTTCTGTCACTAAACTGTTTATCAATAATGGTTATATCTGCATGGTATTCTGTAGTATAGATGTACCACTGTTTATTTAACCATTTTCCTAGTGATGAACTTTAATGCTGTTTCTAATGTGTTGTTTTCTACAGAATCCAACTCTCCCGGCATTGAACTGTTCTGTTGAAAATGCCCATCCGACTGTTTCTTATTATGCTCGTCCTCAAGTGGCATCCTACAATACCTACTACCATAGTCCTCCTCACCTGCCACCATATTCTGCTTATGACTTTCAGGTATGTTTTGAGAAAACAAAACAAAAAAAAAACAAAAAAACCCTCTCCATTACCTTTGCTCTCATTTATGTTCTCTTGTTCTCTCCTTAATCATAGAACCTCCCTAATATATATGAGGTAGTCAGGCTCTCTGTCCCTGATGGCTTTTAGCAGCCTTTGGATACCAGTGATTACCATAAGGGCTATGTAGACATGCAAAGATAGGATAGATGGGAAGGGCGAGAAAGACATAAGAGGAGAAGAAACAGAGATGGAATAATAGAGGAGAGAAAGATCAAGGTATCTCAAATTGCCTTGATCTACCCCAAGGAGAAGATGATACTCATTAGTACCTCACCATGAACCCCTGTCCACCAGTGGCATTTTTTATTTCTCTGCTACAGGAAGAGGCCTCATCCTGATCCTTAGCGTAAGGGTCAGAGAGACATTCTGAGCCACATAAGGGTTTGAATCAAATCTGTAATAATCCCTTCTTTTTTCTCCAGACTTCATAATTAGAACTACACAGAGAAAATATTTTTATAACTCCCCCCTCTCCTTTGTTGTCCTATTATCAAATAGGTCAGGAATAATGTTACCAAATTTGCACTTTCCCTATTTCCTTTTGAGCTGAGACTAAGCACAGAAAAAAAATGGAACCAAAAAAGGCTTTTAATTAAAAGGGATCCATTGTGTGCAGAGTACTTTGAAAAAACAAATGAAACGATCCTTTAGGCATTTTCAGTGGTGGTAAACTTGGCCACAGAAAAGTAGAATTGCACTAAAATCTGGTTAATTCAAAATTTGGGAACCAAAGGCAATATCTTTGAAGGAAGGGAGGCTCATAATGAATTTACTGCTGTTGATTAAGAGCCCATAAATGCTCCAAGGGGACATAAAAGCAAGAGTGTTTGGGGTGCTTCCAGTTAAACAGCTAGTTTAGAAATGCAAAACCCTTGGGAAACCTAATTTTAGGTTTAGATTAACAAAATAATTAAAACTAGAAAACCCCATATAGTTGAATAAATCATATATTTGCTTGGTTTAGATACTGTTTGGGGAGGTCTAGGATTCCACATTGCAATAGTAACACTGTTGACCCTTGAACAACACAGGTTTGAACTTCACGGATCCACTTATACATGGATTTTTTCAATAAAGACACAGCCCCTTGTATCTCAGGCTTTTGAATCTGTAGATTCAAGCAACCACAGCTGGAGAACAGTATTTTCCATCTGCGATTAGGAATCTGCGGATATGTCTAAATTGCCCTATGCCATTTTATATAAGGGTTTGAGCATCCAGGTATTTTGGTATTTGTGGGGGGGTCTTGGGACCATTCTCCATGGATATCATGGGACAACTGTACATACAGTGTGAACATGGACTTGTTCACTGTTATAAAATACAATATTAGAATCAGGAGGTGTCCATTAAAACTTGGAAAACATAACGTTAGAAATTGTTTTAAAACCTACATATTCACAGGTGATTCAGGGAACTTATTACCTAAATAGATTATGTAAACCGGAAAACACAGGTATGTTAAAAATGCATAGATAATTTCAGTTGTAATGCAGGCAAAAAAAATGAATAATTTAAGAGAATGCAAGGATGTTGAAGCTAACACGAGGAGGGTCATCACTCTCTTCGGCCCCTGTAACAAAAAGCCATCCTGAGATAGAGGGGAAACACATGAATTCAATGAAGAGGCCATCTCCACTTTTTTATATCAAAGTAAAACATATTGATTATAGGAATATTCACTTTATAATGAGCCCCTTAAGTAGGAACAATGATCTCCCTAGTGATGGTTGCTGCACTATCTTAGAGTATGGAGCCATCTTTCTCTCTATCATTCCTTATTCAAATACTACTCCAGGGGGAAAGCAAGATTGACAATGCCAGTGGTGACTCAAGCTATTGGTTTTCAGTTCAGCTAATGTTTACTTTGTGTTCCCTTGTGCCAGGCACTGCGCTAAGAGCTGTGGATAGAGAAACTGATTATGAATGCGACAGTCTCTAGACTTGAGAGAGTGATAGGGGGCATCAGTGGGGACAAAAGAGTAAATAGACAATTACCAAGAGTGCTATGGAAACCCAAAAACAGGGTATCTAACACAGCAAAGGGATTCAAATCTATTAAATATATTTTTATTGATTTTTAGATAGAGAGGGAGGAGAGATAGAAACATTGATGAGAGAGGAACATTGATAGATTGCCTCCTGCATGCCCCCTACTGGGGATGGTGTCTACAACCTGGGCATGTGCCCTGACAGAGAATCCACCTGGAGACCTCTTGGTCCATGGGATGATGCTCAATCCGCTGAGCAACACTGCCTGGGCAGGGATCCAAATCTAGCCACCTCACCCAGACCTACACTATGGGCTCATAGCAGGGCCTCCAGGGATTTAAGGAGGACTCTACTTTTTAATAGCAGCTGCTGTACATCGAGCACTTACTATGTATCAAGCACTATGCTAAGAAGTGTTTTATATACTGTATTTTTCGGACCATAAGACGCTCCGGACCATAAGACGCACCAGTTTTTAGAGAAGGGAAATGAAGAAAAAAAGATTCTGAAACAAATAGTGTCCTAAAATATTTTATGTGCATTAAAACCCAACATCACAGTCATAAACACATGTAATCAACCCTGTAAAGTAAACAGCAGCATTTAGAACCATTTTAGAGCCGGGCAAGCACACAGAGACCACACAGAGCCGGACAAGTAAAAAAACTTTTTTTTTAAAGTATATGTGTAGGCTATATTTGGACCATAAGACGCAGGGACTTTTTCCCCCCACTTCTGGGGGGGAAAAAGTGCGTCTTATGGTCCGAAAAATACGGTATATCATCTTGCTTAGTCCTTTGATGAAAATACAATTGTCACTGCCATTTTAAAGATGAGATGACTAAGTCCTGGAGAAAGTAACTACCTCACAGAGATGCTAAGTGAAAGAGCAAGGATTTGTATCCAGGTCTGACTTGAGAGATTGGCTTGAGGTTCTTTGGAAAAGCTATACGTTTGAACACAGCACAGATCTTTCCCCCAGTTAATTTTAGGATATTTATATTTCTACTGGTTTAAATTATGGGCTTCCTAATCATGACTCTTATAAAGGGTCCCTTATTACATTATTCAATTGCTCAACACTGTAGGGCTACTGGGACACACACCTCTCCTAGTTCTTTCCCTAGGTTCCAGCTATCTTCTGTATTTCCCTTTTTGGAGACTTTATAGTTGTATGATGGTGATATGAGGGGTATGTTACGTGATTTGCTTCCCTTTAGAACTTAAATTGTATTTTGTTCTAGTGTTTGAGCTGAGCTTTTTTTGTGTTCACTAAATTCCATTCCCTTATAGTTTCATAGGAGGAAATACCAGTCTTCACTCAAGAAAGCCGAAAGGATGGGGGAACATCTGCTTATGTTCTCAGATGAATAGAAATCAGTCAGGCCCTGATATGGTAGCTCAGTTGGTTAGAGCATCGTCCCAATATGCCAAGGCTGTGGGTTCAATCCCAGGTCAGAGCACACAAGTGCCCCCCCCCCTCTCTCTCCCTTTCTCATCTAATTAATAAATTCTAAAAAAAAAAAAAAAAAATTTTTAACCAAAACCGGTTTGGCTCAATGGATAGAGCGTCGGCTTGGGGACTGAAAGGTCCCGGGTTCAATTCCGGTCAAGGGCATGTACCTTGGTTGCGAGCATATCCCCAGTAGGGGGTGTGCAAGAGACAGCTGATCGATGACTCTCTCTTATCGAGTTTCTAACTCTCTCTCTCCCTTCCTCTCTGTACAAAATCAATAAAATATATTTTTTAAAAATTAAACAGAAAGCAGTCAGCAAAACGTACACTAGCTCTTATAATAAAACCACCAGAAGCACAGACCTCACCTCCCCACCCCCCAAAAAAGCCAGAGCTCCCTGTGCTCTTCTTGGATTATAAAAGGGCCCAAGTCATATCAAGAAAACTGATCTTTCTAGACTTTCTTCTGGATGACTTTTCCATTGTGCTCATTTCCAAATAGGACTATTCTGGTGACTTAAAGTTTGAAGACTTCTGCTTCCTTTTTACCCCAAAGCTGATAGAAGGAAGAGAAAAGAGATTTATAGGGTTTTGATTGAACCCCTCTAAGTCATGCCCTTACTAGGTATCTGTCAAATTAGGAAGCTTGAGAAACATTTCTTGTGGACAGACATGAACAGGCACTTGGGTCTGGTCAGCTGACCCTGAGGATTCTGTGAGAGCTGAGCTTGGAGAAACAGGACTCTTTCAAACATTGGGCTCCAAGGTGTCCTTGTTTCTAATGAAATACCCATCCCTCAAGGCAGGAAGGAGATAAACTGAGACTACCTTTGCCTCCCTGCTCATCACCCCTATACTCAATTTTCTTGCCCTTTGCCTGTCCTCGTTTCCCCATTACCTGTCCTTCAGCTCCAGCCAAGTAGTCCAAAGTCTGTCAGGTCAAAAGCATCAGTTTCTACCTCTCCCGGGAAAGTCAACCCAGTGTAGCTTTATGTAAACCACTTAAGGATTCCAGCCATACTTCCCAGGCTAGCTGCTGGGCAAGTCCCCCTGCTTTATTCTAACCATGGACTGATCTGTTTCCTGTCCATTTGGTGAATTGCCAAGTTTAGCTTAAAACAAAAGTCTAAGCATATGAAACCTGTAAGCACCTCTGTTTATGCTTTTTTTTTTAACCACATGAGGGTACACACTAGATTTCCTCTTAGGTGTGAAAAATGACCCATTATAAATTGGACCCATTTAATGAAAGGTTAACTTTCCTGGGGGAGGCGGTGTATAGCACAGGTTGCTGAGAGCCTTAGAAGGTGTTGCTGCTGCCACCACTCAACTTTTTCTCTTTATTTCCCTCCTCCTGCCAAGGTTTTCCTTTATTCTCCTCTTTTCTCTGGTTTCTGACATCTTCCTTCTTTTCCATCCTCTTCCTTTTAGCTACTCTTCTCTCAATCTCCCCTGGCTTTTCTTTCTGGGGCAGAAATAGAGGGAGAATGCAAAGACCAGGAGACTCTGGGTTTTCCCCTGGGAACACAGCATCTCTTGCTGGTAATCTTTATCACCTGGTCAGTGCCAGGGCTATTTTCTGAGTTACTACCTCCTAGTACTTCTGAAGAGATAAGCCAACTGTGACAGAAATGCAGGTTGGTCTTGCAGAGTATGGGTCATCCATCCTGCAGAGGGGCCAGGCAAAGATGCAAGACAGCTGTGTGTGTCCTGAAAAGATGGTGGTCCTCTTATAGTGTCATCAGCCTGTAGCCACCCCAGCCTCTAAGAAGCAGCTCAGGAAGTTTTAGCCAACTAGGCCTAGCAGTAGGTTTTTTAGATGGTTTTCATGCTTTGTGGTGTACAAGGATTCAAAGCTCTGTTCTTCTGAGTTGCCTGTCCCACTAGTAAAGTCGACTCTTAGGCAGGAACCAAAATGCACCAGGCCAGCTCTTCAGCTGCAACAAAGCCAAATCTTTCCCAAGGTGCCTGCCTGTTGCTAGGAAACTATGCACTGGTACCGTGGGCCCTTCCTCCCCACACCCAACAACTCAAACCCCAAGGGTGTGTGGACTGCAGCCAATGAGCCCTGTAGCTCTGCCAAGAGCCCTTCACTTTTATCCTTAAGATTCCCAGCATCCTCAAAGGAAGTGAGAATCATTCCACCTCTCACCCACCCAATACTTCCCAAACATGAAACTCGGAAGTGAAAACCAAAGACTGTTGTACCACCCCCTTTTATTATCAAAGTGTACAACTGCCACCCACAGTAGTTGCTGCCCACAGAAGCTTTTAAATGCCTCTCAGGACAGAACTGCCTTTAGCTCCACTGTCAGAAATGTGTCCTTCCCTTTTGTGGCTGGGAACACATGGAAATGGCCTCCTGACTCTACCCATCCTAGAGCTGAATCCAAAGGGCAGAGTAGTACCACAGCCCCAGCAGAAATTTGGTCCCTGGTGGGGTTTTGCTCTCCTCTCTGGTTAAGAGGACAGTGTTATCAGTTGAAGAAAGCAGCAGAAGAGGAAGGAGGGAGAGAAGGAGAAAGAGTTCTGGGACACAGAGTAGAAGACTAGGTAATTTACCATACTGACACACATTCTTTTGGAGGTAGGAAAAAATGGAGATTTTAGAAAGGAATCTGACTTGAGTCCACTGCCTCAAGTTGTTTTGCTTTGAATAGCTTTGCAGGTTGTATGAACCTGTCATTCCTTCATTCAAGATGAAATACTGGTAATGGGTGGGGTGGGAGAGGAAGGGGGAAGATTGCAGCTATAGTCTCTTCTCAATCCTAACAAGTGTAAGGGACAGATATTTCAGTGTCTCAAGTAAAGCCTAGAAACCTGGGCAGTGGTCAGGACTGGGGATGAGGAGAATCAGCCAACTGGTCTTAGGCTGACTCTAGATTGTTCCAGGCCTGGAAAAAAGACATGATCTACTCAGAGTCTGACCAGCAGAACAAAGTAGAGGTGTGACCTCTTCAAACAGTACTTGAACTCTTAAGAAATTTTGGTCTAAGTATTTTTTGTTTTGTTTTTTAAGCATAATGAGTCCTCCTAGAGTGGAGACCATTCTCCAGCCCTGTTTGTTGGCTTATGTTTGCTCTTCTGGAGAGCCTAAAACTAACTTCTTGTCTCTTGTCATCCCTCTAGCCTCCTCTAGCCTTTAGGTCTCAGCCATGCTCCACCATTGGAGCAAGGCAATGATCCCCATGAGATGTGACTGCATTCTTTGAAAATAGATATCATTTTTATTTACTTATTTTTTAATTCTTTTTTTAAAATATATTTTTATTGATTTTTTACAGAGAGGAAGGGAGAGAGATAGAGAGCTAGAAACGTTGATGAGAGAGAAACACCGACCAGCTGCCTCTTGCACACCCCCTACCGGGGATGTGCCCACAACCAATGTACATGCCCCTGACCAGAATCGAACCTGGGACCTTTCAGTCCGCAGACCGACGCTCTATTCACTGAGCCAAACCGATTTCGGCAATAGATATCACTTTTTTAAAAAAAAAATACCAAGTTCATCTTATATACTCCTGACATTATAGTCACCCATTCAATATTTATTGAGTACCTACTACTTGCCCAGCTCTGGGGGATATAGCAATGAACAAAACAGGCCAACTCTTTTAGAGCAGGAAAATCATTAGGATCCAGGGAAAGAGAAGGGGCAAATGATGCCTACCATGCCAATACATTTGGTATTTCTTAAATCCAAATCTCCTTTTTCAAAGACCACCAGTCAGACAACACAAAGTAAAATGGAATCCTCAGTGTCTCTGCAACTTGACATATTGCTCCATCCTCTTATTCATGCCTCTGTTCTTTTCTCTCCCACCTACCCTGTTATTGGGGGCGTGCAGGGAGGCACAGTTAAGATGAAACTGAAATTATTGGACTTAGCTTAGGACTCCAGATCCAGCCCTGGCCAGGTGGCTCAGTTGGTTTAAGCATTATCCCATACACCAAAAGGTTATGGGTTCAATTCCCAGTCAGGGCACATACTTGAGTTGCGGGTTTGATCCTTGGTCAGGGTGCATATGGGAGGCAACTGATGATGTTTCTCTCATATCAGAGTTTCTCGCTCTCCCTTCTTTTTTCTCTGAAAATCAATAAAACATATCCGTGGGTGAGGATTAAAAAAAAAAAAAAAAGACTACAGATCCAAGGAAGCCATTTAACCTCTCTGGCCTTACTTTTTGCTGTTTTATGAGATGGGCTTTGTGATATATTCTTGTAGCAAAGATTTCCCCATGTATGTGACTTAACATCAAATGTTCTTAAGGCCCAAACTACCTTTTTAAAGACTAGTTGGGAGGCTATTGCCATAGCTCAGAGAGAGATATTGAAGGCTTGAGTTATAAACATGGAAAAGTGGTTCAACGGGAGGGATAGGAGCAGTCCAAGATATCTCTGCAGGAGCTTCACAGCTTGAGTGACCAAGAGAAAGTGAGACCAGCCCAGCTTCATGCCTCTCATTAACTTTGTGGTTTTAGCTCTTTGTTGTCCCAAACAGAAACAAATTTGGTCTATATTTCATTTTAAAATAACTGACAATGGGGACTTAAAGCAAACTGCCCAAACTGATGGTGTTTTATTTTCATTACACAGCATTCTGGCATCTTTCCACCCTCGCCTCCCTCTGGACTTTCTGATGAGCCCCAGTCTGCCTCTCCTTCACCCAGCTACATGTGGTCCTCCAGTGCACCACCCCGTTACTCTCCACCCTACTACCCGCCCTTTGAAAAGCCACCACCTTACAGCCCCTAGAGGAATGTCTGCTGGCCATTGGGATTATTGTGGCTTTTGTATTTCTGCTTTAGTGGAAGTGTATAGGGTACACAATTTCAAGTGTGATTCTTATGCATAGTTTCAAGTTTTACAAACAGCCTACCAGGCTAGGGAAAGATAGGAATGAAGCTTATTTGTTATCAGTGCCGAACAGGAGTGGCTAGGCTGAACCCAGGACTTCCGTGAAGAACAGTGCACATGCTCTAAGCAAGGCTGGGAAGCCAGCCCAGCAAGAAGCTTGTCATGTTTGGACCTGTAATACCCTATGGCTCTTCCTGTGTTCAGCTAAAGTGTGGTTGTCATCTGTTTCATTTTGTGTAAATGGAGTTTTGTCCTCAAGCCCTTGGTAGATTGCTACCCTAGTACCTCGGTTGAAGTACCTGGCTTATAGACCCTATCTTTCCCTACTACTAAAGTCAGTTCCTAAGGAAAATTTCCCAGATGATGGGGCTACACAGTAGTTCCTTTACGGAGAGTTCTGACCAGGATTTAGTTTACTTGTGTCTGGATGTTGTAAAAAGCTGCCCATATCTTTTCCTTCTCTATGAGTATTGTAAAAATGGCTGTCGTGATCATTCAGCTCAGCTTTTGTTCTTGGTACCTCCCAAAGGGAAAAGTGCAATATCCATTCAAGTAGTGGGATACAGGGTTGATTGTTCTAGAAGCACTGAAATACACAGAGAGCAACGTGAGATATTTTAAGGAGATATGTTATATATCTGATAATTTAGGAGACAGTGGTTCTACTACGTGTTGTAGTATCACAAAATACATTTGCTACAGATATAAATCTTATGGTTAAATTCAGAATTAAAATGCTAGATTAGGTTCTTGGGTCGCAACATGAATTGTTACTAATCTTTGTGACTATTTAATCTTCAAATATTGTGCTTCAACCCTAGCAAACCGCACGTATCCTGCACCCTACCCCAAAAAGATCATGTTTTAATGCTATTGCTCTTATTGGTCCCGTTTCTGTTGAGACCAATTATGACAGTGTTAAAGATTATGAAAGTTTTACAATGCCGCTTTAAATCTGCAAAACCTCAAATGTAGCCAATTTGACAAATTATTGTGTTATTGTAGATTAAAAATCCATCTGGCACATTGTGGTAGGTATTTGTACAGTTCTTTTAATTAGGCATAGCTTTAAACCACCAACCTGATGGATTTAACACTTTGGCACTCATGCCTTCACTTCAAAGCGAACACTTTCATTGCAATCTTATGTTAACCTGAGGATTGATTTTTAAAAAGATTGATAACCCTAGACTTGTATCATGTAAAAACACCAGGGCTATAGGAGGGTACCTAATTAGACAGTTCTGCAAACAGAACACATACTGGAAATTTTTCCAGCCAATTTAGCTACCTCCTGACTTGATGGACTACAGGTAGCAGGCAAACGCTGGTGCTCCCATCTACCTTGCAGACACCCAGCCATCAAGAATTATCAAGGCACAACAAGTGCACTCACTGTTCACAGTAAATGTTTGCAAGACATTCAGTTTAATTTTCAGCACCATGAAGTCTCATCCAGATTTGAAATCTGAAAAACTATAATCTTTTGTTATATAAAATTACTATTATTTTCCATAGTTCTGAGCATGTTAAAATTCTATTGGATTTCAAAAAGGAACTAATAACCAATTGACTTACAAGTATCAACTTGTAATTCAATGAAATATTTTGCTATTTACACTTTACCTTTTGCTTTAGTATTTAATTTTTTAAAGGCATCATTACACACTATATCCTACATTTATCACATTTCTTAAAGTGTTAAGATTCTATGACTCATTTCTATGTATTTTTCTTACTTTACAAAATAACTTGAAAACAGATTTTGTAACACTTAATTTGAGCAGTTTCTTTTTTATTACATCAAATTACATGAAGTGCATGTTACCGTAAAAATTAATATTTGCTGCTTTACTCTTTTGCAAAACATTTGCTGTAATGAAGGAATTTGTATTTCCAATATGTACCTTAACTGTATTTTGTAATCTTTACTGCTTTATTCCTAATTCTGCTTTAAAGTATTGAACTGGGCATGAAATATTAAAATATTAACCCAGCACCTATAAACTGGATGCTGCTTAAAATCTTTATCACTGCCATGTTGGAAATCCTGACTGCTTTTGTGATGTTTCAAATTAATAAAATTATCCTCCTCCTCATCCACTTACATATGTCTTCATGGAATCTACAAAGGGTGTCACAAATGTTCTAAAGAAGTGATTTTCAACCCATGTGCCACAAGAATTTTTAAAACACGTAGTACCTATTTAGTCAGGGACACTGACCTCTTTTCCCTTAGATTGTCAAATAAAAAAAACTGACAACAGCTAACACACTTCCTGTCCAGTGTGAATGAGCCAAAATATACCTATTTTTTGTCAGATTGGCACAGAATTTTAATAATTAGTTTATGTGTGGCATGAGATGAAAAAGGTTGCAAATTGTTGCTCTAAAGTGACAGCAGCTGACTCACTTTTGACTAGAGTTCAAGATACAATGGGCATGCAAATAACCAACATATAAAACCTAATGAAGAATTCTGTCTTGCTGTCATTAGATATATAGCTCCAATCTCCTGACACACACACAAAAATTGAGAACAACAGAATATAAAGGTCTATATAACTTCTGAAAGATAGTCTTGTAAAAAAATGCACTCAAAAATCACAAAACATTTTATTTTTGCCATATGAATCTCTACGAACTAATATCAGGTAACAGTTGAAATGTAGAACTTAAAAGTCATGAAAGGGAAGATTGTACAAGTATGAATATTACAGCATTAGGTGAAAATGGACAAGTTTTCACATGATTGACAGAGGTGAGGAAGCCAATCCTGTAGAATAGCAATTAACTTTTTAGAATATGCATGCCTTGACCATACAAAATACCTTGTGACATTTTTACCATTTGCTTTATCTTTTTTTGTATAATAGGAAACAATGCAGCATTAATTCCTCATAGTAGTTGCATGTGGGGAATAATTACCACCAAAATTATAATGATCATTTAAACATCTTTGCTTAGTTTGAACAGTTTCACTTTCTGCCATCTTAACAAATTGATATTTCGAATAGTTCCTCTCTAGAATATTTATGGGTAATTTATCCCATAACCAAATTTGAGGCCAACTTGAAAGAAAAAGTGAAGTTCAATAGCCAGAAAACTAAGTATAAAATAAGAAAACCCACAGGAAGTATTATATAATGTCTTGCTGCAGATTTCCAACCTAATAAATACTGGGAGTAAAGGGTGTAAACCCTTTACTAGAATATTCCACATGAATTCCAAACTTCAAATAAATTTCTAGAAAAACTGAAGACTCTGATATACATGCAAGAAAGAGTCTTCTGGCAAAAATACAATTTAATTTTCCGGTTTTCCTCCTCCCCCCCAAACTCTGGAAGTTACCTTCAGTAGGCACAGTTTAAATCTCAGACAAAGAATTTACATAAAGCACAGCAGAAGCAAAAAATAATATCCATATAACTCAGAATGGATAGTGTTCCATTATAGAATTCTTGGTCTGACATAATAGCCTGTAGAAAATACCAAGTGTTACGATGACAAACTAATTTATCTAGCACTTAAGTCTAAAAAGTCTGGAAGCCCTGCTGGCATCAGTATCACTCATACTTGTAGAGTAATTATGTCTAACTGGTGAAATATTTCAGAATGCACCTATAGCCAAAGAGCAATGCTATCAACATCTACACAGAAAGGAAGTAGATATTGTGAATCCGGAGATTGCCGAGTCTTGAGTTATAAGGTAATTTAAAATTTTCCAAGGATTAGTTTACAAAATGGTTTTTGACAGTATAGACTCAAAGAACGGAAAACAGATGTACGTGATTCTAAGCCTCAGTAAGCAACAGATTACTTTTTCTTTCTCCTTGTATTATTGCAAATACTGATGCCTGATACCCTCAGCTACCAACTTTAGAAACACTGAAACCATTATCTTTAAATCTAGTTTACCATCAGAAGAATGATGTATACATGAGAAATTACAATTAAAGCTTTAAGTTTGAAGTCAAGAAATAGACTATTTTAAAAAATACATTAAGGAGAAAGAAAATATGTTGAATTAAGAAATACTTAAGCAAAGTTACACATGACTAATAACTATGCACAACAATCTTTTTCAGTATCTATTAAATTTTTTTCTTTGCAAAGTCATTTACAGAAGAAGTTCAACAAGTTAATCTTGTTATAAATGCTAGGCTATATTTTCCAACCTGCTTCCTTTTAGTTCTAGCACTTCAATAAGTTTTTACTTTATTTTCTAAATGTTTAAATATGTGTCATTTAAAAAGGAAGAAAGGTGGTATTTACTGGTCTCAAGATAAAGGGGGATCAACAAGCTTATTTTACATTCCATATATAGTTTGATTGCTATAACATTGCAGCAATTTGCAGATGGAATGGAACTTATTTGCGAAAGGGTAAAAACCTAAAAGGTCCTGCTGATAAGAAAGTACTAGATCACTGATTCAGTTATTTCAAATGAAAAATTCCTATTAGAGATTCTAAGAAATATGAACATTGAAAAATATATGCCAGTAGCCTCCTACCCAAAATATGTAGGAGTCTCATTTCTGGAACCTATCATGTATAAAGATTTATATAGAATTAAAGATTTATTTTGGTGGCTTACATATTCAAAATTTGAAAATTTTTCATGGGACTATTTTTAACCATAATGAGCAAAAAGGCAATCTCCAATCACTTCTACTCTGCCTCTAACACGAAAGAGTAAATATTCAAAAATAATGCAACAGAACTTTTCATCGCCTCCTGTCTGCATTAGAGATCAGTATTTTTTTTTTAACCACAGAGACCACATAGCAAAGGTATATATACAATAGTCCCAGCCACCAAAGTCTTTTCCACACTATGACAATAAAAGTAAGATTTAAATCTAATTGGCTAAAATTAATTCTTCAGATGAGACTTGACTGCATGGCCATTTTCATGGAAGGAGGCAGGAGGTTGCTATCCATTTGGACTAGCAGAACACACAACCACGCGGAACATTGTTTAAAAAATTTCCAGAACAACTTCAGAAGTTCTTGTTTACTTTTTATGCCATATACAAAACACAACACACATTTATAGTCTCAATATTAAGAAAATTGAGAATTGAGCAGTAAAGTGCTAACATAGAAGGGGAAAGTTTAAGATATACTAGGGTATGCTAATAACTCCAGTTATCTTAAAAAAACATTCAGACTGCATCAAATTCTATTCTGGAAACTATCTCTCCAAGCTTTTTTTGCCCCCTTTAAGTGAGCTGATAGCTAACTATATAAACAGATACTTGGGGGTTGGGAGTTCTCAATCTCTACAAACCTTCAGAATAATTTGCTTCTAGAAATTACCAACAGATAATTCAACTAAACTACCTTCAGATGACATGTCACATAAAATTTCTTAATTTGTTTTATAGGTCTTCTGAAAGCCAAACCAAAACTTTGATATTTCAAAGGAGTTCAATAAGATTCTGGTATTATAAATTCAAACTCAGTACTGCCATCCGTTACATTCTGTTTAAAAATTGAATCATTTTCCTGCTGAATAAAAATATCTTCCCAGGTCATTGGCTTGGTCTGAGGAGCGGATGTGGTCCCTACTGGAGGTTCTTTCCCAGCATCAACCTTATACCCAATTCCATCATCCTTCATTACAGGCACAGCGCCTGACCTATCCGAGAGGTATGCATATTGTCTGATCTGTAAAGACCTGCATGGATGTAAACGATAAAGCTTTGAGTCTCCAGAAGGATCTTGACTATGAACTGACTTTATGTGTGAAGACATAAATTGATAGTTGATGAAAGATTTACCACAAGCCAAGCACTGATATCTTCGCTCCCCGGTGTGATGAATTTCATGCTTTGTGCGATATTCTGCAAGAGGAAATACCTTCTCACAGTAATGGCAAGGATACTTCTTTTCCCAAGAATGAATGTTAAAATGTCTCCGCAAGCTTGTCAGACAGACATATGACCTTTTGCACACAATACAGATATAATAGACCCTTCCATCTACTATTAACTCATAGTGATCATCATGTTTTACTTTCATACGTTTGTTTGCTGGCTCACTGCTAATTGTTTTTGGTATCTCATTCTCAAGTCTGGCCTCCCCTTCATCGGGGTCATCTTTGACAGGGATCACTATGTCATAAGTATCTTCACCAATATTTGCATAAACCTTGCAACCAGTTGACAAGCCTTCAATTTCAGTAGCTGTGTCTAAAGTAATGATCTTCTGACCCTCCATTAGATGTTTTGATTCTAAAACTGGATCATTAGTGCTTCTAGTAATTATATCTGAAACTTTTAAAGAATTGGAAAGTGGCTCTTGCAGAAGTGTAGGGATCTGCATCTTCTGTACCAGTGATCCGTCAAAAGTGGTATTTTTGGGAGTATCAGCCTGTGGGACCAAAGATGTATTACTGACAGCTGAATCTGGACTGGAGCTAATAGTGTCGTCATCATCATCTATAATTTCCTCCTCCTCCTCGTCATTGGCCTTGTTTCCTTTCAAAGCAGTACTGTTTGTCTGCTGATTCGGCACAAGTACATTGATTGAAGGAGACATATGATTTGGAAGTGAAGGACTGACATTTGGTGGCGTAGTATGTGGTGCCTGATTTAACAAAATGATGTTAGGAGTCAGATGTGTCTGGGCGGAAGATACCAGCACTTTTTCACTTCCTTGTGTTTGGCTCAGAGTTGCCTGATTCACAGGAGTAGGAAGTTTCTGAGGAGGTGTGTTTTCTGTTATAGGGGGGGAGTTACTGCTAGCACAAGGTGCAACATCTGAAATAGCAACAGGGCCTGGATTAGGCTGGGCCTGTGCCACTGCACTGGTACTTGGCAAAGTCTCCTTTGCAGGCAGAATCTCAGAGCAGAAAATAACGTCGTCATCATCATCATCTGAATCAGTAACAATAATCTTTTTTGTCTCATAATCTTCAGCAGATAAGGAAAAAGACTCTGTTATAATAGGCATTATGGTTGCCCCATTATCTTGGGTTTCGTCTTTTGATTTTTGTGCTTCAAGGTTCTTGTCACCAGAACCAGGAGGTAAGGTTTCTGAATTACCATCCTGAGCTGTACGTGAGATGCTTTTCACCTGTGACAATGGGACACCAAGCTCTGCTATAAACTTAACTCCTAACAACTGCCCTGATTTAATTAGCTCATCAAGTAAATCTGATCTAACGCGAACAATTTTAGAACTATAGATATAGTTGAGAATTTCTGCAAAGATCTCTGCTCTTATAAAGCTTAGTTCAACAACTTGCCCAGCAACTGAGAAGAGCTGATGGAAGTAAGTACTAGAAGCTGAAAGAATATTCCTGTGGGCCCGGAATTTTCGGTCTTCCACAATAACGGTGACATCACAGAAGAGTCCATGGCCACGTTGCTCATTCAAGGAGTTCAGCAGGCTGCCAGAGTATTGAATGTCTGTAGCAGAAATCAGTTTTCTACTCTCCATGCCTATTAGAGAAAGGGAGAAGGAAGGGATGAAAGATTAGGAAAGAAAAGCAGAAGTATTTTACCATTCAGAATTTTAGCTACAGCATCGTTAAATAATTTGCTCAAGTTTTAACCGAAGTTTGGCATAACTTTATGGCTTTTATATAAATTGTTCATATGGGTTGGGTTTTGGACCGTGTGTCAAATCTCATGACTTCCCCCTGAGAAGAGACAAGCAAGTTTTAAACTGATCTACAGATGTGAATAGTAATCTTCCTTTGCATCTCAAATACATGCAAGACCACTAGGCAATTTTTAAATATTAGAATTAATTTTCTTAGTTCCAATTTTGTTTTCTCAAGAAGAGTTAAGAATTAATATTTAGCTGTCTTAAAACTTTTTAAAGAAAAATCTTCATTATAAACACATAAAAATTATTTCACCTGTAAATGAATGATTTAAATGTCAGAAAAGCCTGCGGCCTGCAGGCCACAAATTTGATACACTTGGTGTATACAAAACTGAGTCTGCAATATATACTCTTCCTAAATTTTAACTTATCTTTAAGAACATATTCAAAAACTACTCTCTGCAGCCAATGACTAAATCAGCATTTACAAGCACTGACAACTATTACCTCTAAACATCCCATTATTCTTCTATTCTTATTTAAGTTGTGATGCCTCATCAGGATAAACCAGTAAATACCTTTCTTATCCTTTCTTTCATTCCCTTTCTTTTCCTCCTCTTCACCTCTCTTACAATCTCCAGAGGTGGAATGTTAAAGAGTGCCAAATGAAATCAACAGATGCTACTATAAAAAGTAAGATAAAGGAAAAGTTTACCATTTCTTAATGCCTATTTGCACAAAAACATTTTGTTAGTAAAGAACTATGTGCATTGGTATGAGAGCATTCTCACATCAAATGAGTCAGTGAAAATGAAAATAAGCTTATTGGAACAGTGCAGATACTGCTCAAGAAAATATGGGGGGATGTCAGTAAATCGCATCAGTGAAAAATATTTTTGCAGATCTTAATAGATATTCTCAGTCACGAAGATCATGAGTTGTTAAAATACATAGGATGTCCCCCCAAAATGTATTTGCACAATTTGAATTATTATAAAGGCAATGTTTATTAAAATACATTTCATTTTCAAAATTGAGCTATCAGCTGTTAAATTATATATACATATTTCGGGGACACCCTATCCTATCCTATATAATAAAATTTATATATATATATATATATATAAAAGCCAGAATGACCAGAATGACCGGTCGCTATGATGTAGACTGTGGCTGGCCAACCAGCTCAAACCTCCAGACCGCCAACCTCTGTGGCCCCTCCCCAAAGCCAACCCCACCCCCAATCGCCCCCCCATGATTGGGGGCTGGGCTGGCCAACCTCCTGAAGCCCTGCCCCCTCCTCCCCACCAACCCGAATCCTATAATAAAAGGCTAATATGCAAACTGACCGAACAGGGGAATGACCAGTCGCTATGACGCGCACTGACCACCAGAGGGAAGATGCTCAATACACTCCCACAGGGGGAGCGCCGCTCAGCCAGAAGCGGACTCAAGGCTGGCAAGCAAAGCAGTGGTGGCAGGAGCCTCTCCCACCTCCGCGTCAGTCAGACATCCCTCAAGGGCTCCTGGACTAAAAGAGGATGCAGGCAGGGCTGAGGGGCTCCCCTCACCCAATCTCATGAATTGGGCCTCAAGTAACTATAACTATAAAAGCATAATATGTTAATTAGATTGGATGTCCTTCCAAACAACCTTCCGGATGAAGCCAGGGCTATGAGGGAAGCCTAGGACCCGAGTGCCAGAGGGCAGCTGGAGGGAAGGAAGGCCTACTCTTATATGAATTTCATGCATGGGGCCTTTAGTATAAATACATATAAACTAGAGGCCCGTTGCACGAAATTCGTGCATGGGGGTGTCCCTCAGTCCAGCCTGCACCCTCTCCAATCTGGGACCCCTCCAAGAATGTCCATCTGGCCGTCGGACATCTCTTGCAATCCAGGACCGCTGGCTCCTAACCACTCACTTGCCTGCCAGCCTGATCGCCCCTAATCACTTTGCCTGCCAGCCTGCTTGCTCCCAACTTCCCCCCCTTGCCAGGCTGATCACCTCCAACTGCCCACCTTGCTGGCCTGCTCACCCCCAATTACTCCCCCCCATCCCCCTGCCAGCCTGATCACCCCAACTGCCCTCCCCTCCTGGCTTGATTGCCCCTAACCACCTCTGCCTTGGCCCCACGAAAATAGCTTTGATTGGAAGGACATCCAGAAGGTCTCCCGGTCTAATTAGCATATTATCCTTTTATTAGTATAGATTAGCTGATAAGTACTTTTGGTAAAGAAATACTTTGATTTCTAATATTTTTTCCCTTTAGAATTACCAAAATAGCTAGCAGCTGTTAAAATGTGTATACATTTTTTGGGACACCCTGGACACATGGAAGACAGAGACATCTCAAATATCTTCTCAATATTTCAAAATTATAGCTTTAAAACAGTGAAGAGTCTAGAGATCAAGGACTTAAATCATCATCAGTAACAAGGCATTGCTTGTTAACAGTACCAAGGAATTCCAGGTTAGGCATTCATCAGAAAGGGTGACCTTTGGACAACGCCAGCCAGCAACAAGGGCTGCAGAAATATGGGGATTTCGGGGGGGAAAAAGTCACTTTTCACTGGATAGATGGGTTTTCTAAATAGGGTCCCACAATTTTTGTCATTTACAAAATTTTTTTTCCAATGGAGGAATGCGTGAAGTGGGCATGTCCCAATGACACTGGGACTTGGTTTCATTTTGTTTAGGTTTCCTCTCCACCCCATTAGGGTGGGCCTAGGAACGGGGGTGTGGGGGGAGAGGGGAGGGCAAGTGATGGTGGAAAAGCGAGAAACGACATCTGCCGCAAGGGAGTGAAACAAACTGACACGCGGCTCCCAACAGCAGCTGAACCCCATCTTCCTTCCTCCACCTCCCCCCCCCCCTTCTCCATTTGCACCCAGCTGGCTGCAACCAAGGTTTTTAACCCCCTTCCACGCAAAAGGGCAGCGTCTCACAAATACAGACAGAGATAGGATCAGCAGTGAAAGCGGGGGGCATAAGGCCAGCTGGGGAAAGTAGAAGGTGGCGAAGAGGAGGGTGGGGGCGCTGGGAGGGGATAAGGCCGAGCCGACAGCATTGTTGCCCTGGGAAGGGGACCGAAGGGAAGGATGGCCTGGCAGAAAGGCTCTGAAACAAAGTCCGGACAAGGAGCAGAAAGAGAGGCACAAAAAGGCAGGCGGTGGGGCCAGGAAAACGCCAAGTGGGCCTCTGGGGAAGGCTTCCCACGCCCCGGGCCTACCCGCGGCACCCGCAGCCCTCGGGCCCCTGACGGCGAAGAGGACCGCACCGCGGCCTTTCCGGTCGCCCCCTCCTTCACTCCGGGGCCCACACAAAGAAAGGGCCGGGGGAGCGAAGCCTCCAACTCGGCCGCTTCCTGGTTCCAGTGGGGAGGAAGCAGACGCAGGCGCGGCCGGGACGGAGGCAGCAGCGCGGCCCCAGCCGCTCCCGGGCCGGGCCGGCTCTTTACCTGCTTTTCCGCGTCGCCGCTTCTCCTCCTCAGGCCGCGCCGAACGGTGGGAGGCCTCCGACAACAAGAGGCCGGACTCCGCGGCGATTCCGCTCCTTCTTTAAACGTCGCTCCAGTCTTGGGCGACGTCGACGCGGCTGCCGCCTCCCGCCGCCACCGCAGCAACCGCCGCCCCACGTCGGCCGACAGAGGGCCCCGCGCGGAGCCGAAGGCGCGTTCCACCTCCGAACGCACTCGGGTCTTTCCGGAAGGGCCCCGGCTCGAAGCGGGTAGCTCGGGTTCCTCTCCCTGTCTTCGGCTCCTTCCGTCAGCGAGCAGCGGAAGCCTGGGAAGTCCTCGCAAGGTTCGGCCCTTTCCGGAGGGCAAAAGGGTGGGAAAAAGGAAAGGGAAAGAAAGTTAGGGTAATTGTAGTCTTGAGGAGCCTTGAGGATGCAAGGGAAGCTAGACGCTTTCATCTAAATTCAGTTTAAGCATCTAGGGCGTAAAAACTTTGAGAGGCTATCCGGGTTTCATTTCTTCAGCAAGTTTGGAACGGCGCTATTAGCCTGTTTCTTAGATAATAAACCACCGTGAAATATAATCTGAATAAATGAAATCAAATAGATTTCATCAACTTATGATAATTCAAGTTGTAGGATAATAACTACATTACAGTAACTATTCTTTTTAAAAATATATATATTTTATTGATTTTTTACAGAGAGGAAAGGGGAGGGATAGAGAGCCAGAAACATCGATGAGAGAGAAACATCAACCAGCTGCCTCCTGCACACCCCCCCACCGGGGATGTGCTCACAGCCAATGTGCATGCCCTTGACCTGAATCAAACCTGGGAACTTTCAGTCCGCAGACCGATGCTCTATCCACTGAGCCAAACCGGTTTTGGCTACAGTAACTATTCTTAAGTAAACCTAGTGTCTGGACAAGCCGATTGTTTGGCTCAGTGGATAGAGCATCTGCCTGCAGACTGAAAGGTCCCAGGTTCGATTCAGGTCAAGGGCATGTATATTGGTTGTGCGCACATCCCCAGTAGGGGGTATGCAGGAGGCAGCTGATCAATGTTTCTCTCTCATGGATGTTTCTATCTCTCTATCCCTCTCTCTTCCTCTCTGTAAAAAAATCAATAAAAAATATATTTTTTAAAAGTACTAGCTTCTTAATTGACTACTAAATGATGCAGTACTTGTAATTCCTTTATTTCAGCTGTCATTTACTTTGTTTTATCTGTACCAAATCTTACGCTAGGTTCTGTGGAATACAAACATGAATAAGCCAAATCTCTATCTTTTGAAAGAGCTCAGTAATAGACACTGAACATGGACCAAAGTGTTTGTACAAGGTATAGAACACAGAGAAGGGAATAGCATATTGAATGCTAACATTTGAGCTGTACCTTGAATGATAAATAATAATAACACTTGCATTATTAATTTATTATTTTTATTTACATAGCATTTCCTCCTCAGAGGGCTTTAGTGTCAGTTGCATAGTAGGTGTTCAGTAATTGTTTAATGAATGAATAAATGAGTTGTGGTAAATATTTTTAATCCTCACCCAAGGATGTTTTTTCATTGGTTTTTAGAGAGAGTGGGAGGGGGAGAGGCAGAGAAAAACATTGATGTGAGAGAGATACATCAATTGGTTGCCTCCTACACACTCCTCACTCAGGGCCCTGGGCCAGAGAGGAGCCTGCAACCAAGATCCATGTCCTTGACTGGAATTGAAACCAGGGGGACGCTTCAGTCCACAGGCTGATGCTCTATCCACTGAGCCAAACCAGCTACGGATAGTTGTGGTAATTTTTTTTTTTAAATCCTCTCATAATACACTTCCAACTGAGTACCATGATGAAGGAAGCAACAGGATTGGTGTTTGGAGAATAAAATATTTCCCTTTAGGTTGGTTAACGATCATATTCAACTAAGGAACCAAAATAGTAGTTTGTTTGTTTGTTTTTTCTTTGACAATGAAAGGACTCAAGGGTATAATTTTCTTTTAAAAAATATGTATAGGATAGTATTGCATCTGCTTCCAAAAACTTTAATTTGCACCTATTTACCTTTCAGTCAGAATCTCTGTGCTTCTTTCCTACAAAAACCTTACTGAAAATATCCATCAGGCTAAAACAGATCTAACTATATCTAATTTTCTTCAACATGAAATCAGACAAGCATATCTCCATCTATCCATCCCCAATCTATTATACATTCTCATCAGTAAAGTAAAGCCACATAGCAAAGCATCAAAGTGGTGTAATACAGTTGTATTTTCACATGGAAATAAGAAAGTCACATGAAATTACTTGGTTACTTCACCAAGATTTTATATTGTGGGAAAACAAACTATGTGGGACTTATTACATCACTAGAGGCCTGGTGCACAGATTCGGGCACTGGTTGGCCTGTGGAGATCAGGCTGAAACCAGCAGTCCGACATCCCCCAGGGGGTCCTAGATTGTGAGAAGGTGCAGGCCAGGCTGAGGGACCCCACTGATGCACAAATCTGTGCACTGGGCCTCTAGTATACATGTAAGATCTTTGATTAATATCTTCCCTCCCTCCACTCTCCCCCCTCCCCTCTGAGATTCATTAGTCTGTTCCATGTTTCCATGCTTATACATTGAGCATCTGACCCCGGGTGGTCAGTGTGCATCATAGAGAATGGTCAAACAGTCAAATGGTCAGACACTTAGCATATTAACCTTTTATTTATATAGACTGGTTTTGTTAAACTAGGACTTAAAATTATATGTTTCATTGTTTAATATAAATACATTGTTTAATAAATACATTTCATGGGAAGTAGTAATGTGTTGTTATAAAAGAAAGTAAAATAGATAGTAGTATTTGCCTGGCAACTGAGTGCTTAACAAAATTAGTTAGCAGATTAATGACCATTTTTGAGTCATTCTCCCTCAAAATTTAGCAGCAAAAAATATTAGAAAATAGGACAAAGTACATCTTTTTTTAAGTACATATTTTTTAAGAACTTTAAGTTTTATTTTTTCAATTAAAATTTATATTCAATATTATTTTGTATTGGTTTCATGTGTACAGCATAGTGGTTAGACAATCATATACTTTACAAAGTGTTCCCCCTGATATTTTTATTTTTTAATATATATTATATTGATTCTTTACAGAGAGGAAGTAAGGGATAGAGAGTTAGAAACATGGATGAGAGAGAAACATCAATCAGCTGCCTCCTGCACACCCCCCACTGGGGATGTGCCCTCAACCAAGGTACATGCCCTTGACCAGAATCGAACCCAGGACCTTTCAGTCCACAAGCCGACGTTCTATCCACTGAGCCAAACTGGTTTTGGCACCCCTTGATATTTTTAGTACCCACATGGCACCATGCATAGTTATGGCAATATTATTGACTATATTCCCTATGCTGTACATTATGTTTTCATGACTAATTTGTAACTGCCAATTTGTACTTCTCAAACCCTTCACCTCTTTCACCCAGTCCTCCAACCCCCCTTCACTCTGGCAACCATCAGTCCATCCTCTGTCTATAAGTCTGTTTATATTTTGTTTGTTCGTTTATTTTGTTCTTTAGATACCACATATAAATAAAATCATATGGTATTAGAACAAAATACATCTTGAAAGTTTAGGATCTATTTAGCTTTCAGTAGCTAAGTTGACTAAAACTGAAATGACTTAACTTTGAAATACAGATTGCAATGGCAGTAACTACCACACTTGTTATCAAATGTTTTTTTGTTACCACTCAGTAAATGGGAGGACACACTCCAATACAACTTATTTTACATCAATATGATCAGCACCACGGCTGCCCCCAGGATTGTCTTGCCTTTTGGTTTCTTTCACGAAAGAGCCTTAAAAGTGTGGAACCTCAAATGAGATATGATGAAAATCTGTTAATCAAAGCCCAGGAAGCTTCTCTTCCCTTCTGTCCATGTCACTCACCCCCTATCTCAGCAAAAGCTAAAATAAAATAAAATAAATTACTTACAATTAAAGAGGATCCAATGATTAGGAAATGAATTTTTGTAGAAAAGCAGAGCAGACTACTTAGGGAAGATAGGATTTATTAGGTGGTTGCAAACTGCTGTTTATGTCTCAGTTTCCCTGTTCCACGTATCATGGAATTTTCCTAGCTTCTTACTATTCTGTAACAGTTTCATATTTCAAATATGGAGAAAATGAGGGACTATAATACCCATGAGTTCTTTATAAAAATTATTTGACAATATAAAATCAAGTAAGAAATGAATCAAAATAGAGAATTAAAAATGGACATTTTGCAGTGAGCCAATCTATTTAAGTGGAGGACTAAGACCAAACAGCAAGGTTAATTATGAATATGTTACAGAATGAGATTACTATTAACACTGACATAAAAATCCATTCATTTGTTCATTAAATACATATAATTTTGTATCTACTTTGTGCCAGGCAATGTCATAGGCACTGTGGATACAATCATCATCAAAATAAAGTCTCAGGCCATGAAACTCAAATTCTGAAGGGAGATAGCCAGTCAATGATTCTCTCACATCATTGATATTTCTGTGTGTCTCTCTCCTTTCCCTTCCTCTCTGAAATCAATAAAATATATTTTTAAAAACGGGAGAGACATACAATAACCATATGTGTATATATTACCTAAATATATAACATCAGCCGGAACCGGTTTGGCTCAGTGGATAGAGTGTCAGCTTGCGGACTGGAGGGTCCTGAGTTCGATTCCGGTCGATTCAGGTCAAGGGCATGTACCTTGGTTGCGGGCACATCCCCAGTGGAGAGGTGTGCAGGAAGCAGCTGATCGATGCTGTCACATAGATGTTTCTAACTATCTCTCTCCCTTCCTCTCTGTAAAAAAAAACAATAAAATATATTATATATATATATATATATATATATATATATATAATCAGATATGAATGAGTATTTTGAAGAAAATAAGTGTAAAGGGACAGAGAATGATGAGGGTGCCATTGCAAATAGTGTGGTCAGGGACTGACTCTGAAAAGATGATGTGTGAGCAGGGACTGTAATAAACTAAAGGAAAGAGCCATGCAAATACCATGTTGTATTATTATTTATGGGACATACTTGTGCTAAAACATTATTTGTTGTGTATCTGAAATTCAAATGTAAGTGGA